GTGTGCCAAGTTATATTGAAATCAGACCAAAATTGTAGGAGGAGTAGCGTTTTAAAGGAATTTCACAGAAAATTCTATTTTTAGTAACCATGGCAACACCGTTCATCAAAATCAAAAACCGATGCACTATTTTATGTATCTTAGTGTAGTCTACTTGTGTGCCAAATTATACTGAAATCAGATCAAAACTGTAGAAAGAACAGCATTTTAAAGGAATTTCACAGAAATTTCTATTTTTAGTAACCATGGCAACACCGTTCATCGAAATCAAAATCCGATGCACAATCTTATGTATCTTAGTGTAGTCTACTTGTATGCCATGTAATACTGAAATAAGACCAAAACTGTAAAAGGAGTAGCGATTTAAAGGAATTTCACAGAAAATTCTATTTTTAGTAACCATGGCAACACCGTTCATCGAAATCAAAATCCGATGCACTATTTTATGTATCTTAGTGTAGTCTTCTTGTTTGCCAAGTTATATTAAAATCTAACCAAAACTGTAGGAGTAGTAGCGTTTTGAAAAATTGTTTACAGACACACGGACAGCTAGACAGACAGACGGACGGACGACGGACACCTTACTATCGCATAAGCTCTTCTGGTCTCTGACCAGTAGAGCTAAAAATCAGATTGTGTGCAAAATTTCTTTTTCTATGACCAATAAAATTGTCGGGTGTTCGGTTCGGTTGGAGAATAGATGAATACACAGATATCTAGAAGTTAATCCATTACATCGAGTAATGTATAGAATGCAATGCGGCGTTCGCGAATTCTACCGGTCATAAATTGTTCTCAACTATTCAAACATGGTGTGTGTAGTTTGTTTGTTAATATATGTTTAGAATTTTAAATTTTCTCTTTGGAAAGTAAATTTATCTCATTGTTTTTAATACCCCCGAAATCTAAGATTCGGGGTATTATAGTTTTTGCCCTGTGCGTCCATCTGTCTGTTTATATGTTTGTCCACAAAAACATTAATATTGCAATAACTTTTGATTGGTTGAAGCAATGCCTATCAACATATATCAAATGCGTATTCCTTGTGAAAAGACTTTTCTTTGGGTACCAAATATTTGATCTTTTGCCCTTGACCTTGGAGTTTGACCCAATTTTGCAAAAAGTTACCCAACTTTAACGTTGACCATAACTTTTTATGTTGGGGTTTTTCATACTTAACATGTTTATTTATTGAGAAAAGGCTTTTTTATAGATATAAATATTTTTGACCTTGACCTTTGCGATTGACCCACTTTAAAAAATAACATTGGACAAAACATTTAGCAATAGAGTCATAATATTTCACAGGTGTTTTGGAGTGATAAGGCTTTCCTTAGGATACCTACAATTTTGTCCTTTTTTCCCTTGACCTTGGAGTTTAACCTACTTTTGAAAACTTTATCCTCGGCAATGAATGGGTAATATTTTTTTATCCATTAAATGTTGTTACCCATTGACGATGCAGTTTGACTTGTATTTGAGAAACCTCAACTTGCCAAAAGTTGTCAAACGGGTGCATCAGTGTTTCATAAACACATCATGTTTTTCATGTTAGTTAGGCGTTTTCATGTTTTATTAAAAAAAATATTGTCTAGTGTCTTGGTAATCAGCATCGCCGAGTACGATGTGAAACATCCAAGCACAGTGATCCTCAGGGTCTGATTTTAATAACTGCTGTTTATAAAAGACTAAATATTCTTCTTATCCTCGAATAAAAATCATTTAGAAAGTAATTAATTTCTATCTTCATTTACCTGAGTAATAAAAATGATTAGTGAAAAGATATCGGAAGCCTTCCGTTGTCAAATAAGACATTGCTTCAATGGTTTTGCAATAACGTCGAAAAGGGGTCTATCTCTTGTTACAAATTTTACGTTTTTCATTATTAAAGATTCAATGTATCATTAAATCCCCTTCAATGTCTCCAATAAATGGTCTAATATGCGACAACTGCTTGTGATTTACGTTAAATTGCGAGTAATAAACTTTGGACAGCGGAAAATTGAACATGACCCGGCAGATATCGTTAGGTTGTTATCGGCACTCGATCCCGAGCTGATAAAGATGTTTTTATTGTAATTTTCCTTTATGTTGAACGTTAATTACATCCTGGCTATGATTAATAGCTCTTTTTAGAAGAAAACTTAGACTCAAGACCTTTTTCTGAGGCAGTCTTCTCTGCGTTGTTTCGCGCGCTCATCAGTCGTCTGCGAGTCGTTTGTACCAGGTCCTTCCTATCGGGTTGGTTAGTCGTCTGCTCGCAGGAAGTGTTAATTGTTTGCTACAGGAAGAAACCGCGCTTCTTAAAAATTGGACAAATAATCGTTTTTCAGTAATTGGTTCTAATTTCACTTCTTTTGGCAGTAAATCTACGATTAATCTTCAGGCATTGTTAGGAAAGCGGATGGAATTCCTTTTCGGAGATATACGTTTCTGTAGTAATTAAATGTTAGCAGAATCAATATAATCCAAGGATAGTGTAATTAAAGATGTACCGGAGACTCAAATACACAGAAAAATCCACGCATTTCAGACATTAATTTCTTTTTCCAAAGAAATTATTTAGTAAATTCTATTTGTAAAATTGCGTATCTAGAAGCACATTTTATAAATTCTAAACAGTTTGCTCGATGTCAGCCTTTTATTGTTTGTTTTATGGCATTGCATAAAAATGAAAGGGACGCACGCTGAAACAAGATGTGCATGTGCAAACATTCAAAGAATATCAGTGAAATTTAACTTCAAAGTCCAAAAAAGTAGTCGCTTGTGTGGTATAAACTGTATTTGGAACGCTGCCAAATACATGTAAATAGTTCAATTTTTGCGATCCTTACACCCAGTTTCTATAATAATTTCCTGTACATTGTATATCTATGATTCTTTTAAATAATTGTATCATTCTATAATATGATAGGCTTTTTAGCCGGGCTTATTGCTCAAAGAGCAATTGCCGGCTTATGTGATCCTGTTCAAGGCAGGATGTTGACCCCATAGTCGCCATTTTAAAGTTACGTGCAAAAAAATAGTTCTTACTCTCAACCGCTTTTTGAGATAATACAAACGCCAAATAAAGCAACAAAAATAAAACGAAGTTTTATCTATATAAAATAAACATTAGTAGTAATGACTTTGAAAACTTCATAAGTCAAAGAACATAGTTCATTAGCATAAGGATTTTTGATAATCAGTGTTACCGTAGTTCTCTACAAATACGAGGTAAAGCAGGAGAGGGAACCAGAATGGCCTGTTTCTTTACATTCAGCTGCGGTACCAGATTAATTCTGATTCTGACAAAATCGGACCGTGGTATTACGATTGAAAAACTCACTGTCAGTGTCTTATCATTTATATTGATAGTTTTAAAATAATTTTTTCATCAGAATATAAACATGATTCATGTAACTTTAAAATCCATTCTACTCTGTAAATGAGCCCGGCTCTCTGTACTTCTGAGTACTTTGATTTCAAATTGATTTCAGAGCCAGTTGTTAATGAAACGAAGGTTTACTTGCTCTAAAATTATGAATGTAAGTTTTATACAAATAAGTAAATAATTTGAAAAATAGAATTTTTTGATTATCGAAAGATCCCCTAAAGCCATAAACATAGCCGACTCTGAACAAAACGCACAATAATTATTGCATGTCGGTGTTGTTCATATCCCCCTTGGGCAAAGGGAACAAACTCAAGCTCATGTAATCTTCATAAATGATGTTTCATCCGCATTTTATCCAAACATCCCCATTTTTGTATCACATGTTAAGCAAAGAAACACTAAGGATTAACCTAGCTAGTCATGTGTCTGTCACACTAGCCTGCAACTTTTAAAGCAGAAAATAAGGACACACTTTGCAAACATGCTTATTGAAAAGGCTTTTTGATACATACATATATAATAGTTTATAATTATTGGTTTTTGTGAAATCATAAATTCATGAATTAATTATCTATGGGTATCAAAGATAAAATTTCTTAGAAACTTCTATGACGTTTTTCAACTGAACTTAAAAAAGAAACTTTATCCACAAGTAGAGTAATTGATTATTGATATTTTTTTCATTTACTGAATGGTGTTATCATTGCCACTAAAAATAGAAATCTCTGTCAAACCTTTAAAAAGGCTCTACCCCTACATTTAGACAAAATAGTTGCCTATAAAAAAAAAGTGAAATTCATACATATTGATTTATTCAAGTCATAGATTTGGACGGCATTCTATATAAAAGTACTCAATGAAAAGTGTAGAATATGCAAACACATAACAAAGAAATAATCCTTACAACAAGTGATGCATAAATCACTCAGATGATAAAGATAAATTGGAACAAAGTAGTTGATGTTTAAAGACACAAAACACAATCAAAGATATGAGAACTTGTTCCACAGTTTGTAAGACGATGATAGTATTGTTATGAATGCCTGACTCTGATCACAGTTGAATGTTAAACAGAGAGATGATTGGGAATGTGAGATCAATACCCAGGGTGGCCATGCAAATGTTCACATGAAAGTCACAATGACCTGGTTAAAGTGCTTCCTGAAAATGATCTCCTTGAATATGACCAGTAGATGAGTTGTTGGCACATGTTGCATCAGCACTTATAATTTGAAATCATTTCAATAAATATAATTTCCATCATTTTTTAGACAACCTGTTCAATTCTTCAGATTTCTCTTATCAAGATCTCCAGTTTTTTTTTTACATCACTCAAGATTTGCCTGAATAAAATTGGCAAACTCAATATATTAATTACAAGCTAGGCAAGCTATGCAGAACTGGTTTTCATCTGCTCCTTGGACCAGAACATATTATGGGTATAACTGGCATGTAATTATTCTTCCATTGCCTTGAACTGCAAGAATAATGGACTATAAATAAACTTTTAAATTTCCCATAATACCTAAATAGTAGTTCATTCACTTGTATTTCTAACTGTAGACAGATTTGTAAATCTGGTATATATATATTCCCAGAAATAAATTCCAAACAGTTTGCTCGATGCTTGAGATCACATATTTTTGGCCTCGCAGCTAGACCAGCAAGTTTCTTTCACTGTCAGGTGTGTAAGATCATGTTTTGCCTTGTAAAACTTTGACGAGCTTACTTTCAGGTTTGTAGCATCATGTTTTTCCTTGTAATACTTTGACGAGCTTGCTACAGTGTGTGTGTACGGTGGCGTTACCCTGGCCGTGACTGCTGTGGACACTTCTGTTGACTTGTACCAGGTGAGAGTGTGACATAATGGAGGACGAAGGGCGCGGTGTGTTGGCCACAGTAACGTTGTTCAATTTGTCTATGGCATTTTGGGTAATCATCTCCTACAAAAACAAGAGATGTTTGTAAAACGCTTATGCCCCCCTCCCCCAAATTTGAATTTTTCCAAGTCCAAGGGGCATAACTCTTTCAAAAATGGTGTGATGTACGCAAAACAGAACTTGGCCTAGATATTTAGCTCATAAATCTGTATACCAAATTTCATTTCATTATGTGCAACAATTGAGAAGAAAATGAGTGAAAAATAATTGCAAATAATTGGAATTTTTCGAAGTCCAAGGGGCATAACTCTGTCAAAAATGGTACAATCCTACCCAATAGAGATCTTGACTTAGATATTCAGCTGATAAATCTGCATATCAAATTTCATTTCAATATGTGCAACTTCTGCGAAGAAAATGGACGGAAACTGCAAATAATTGGAATTTTCTAAGTCCAAGGGGCATAACTCTGTCAAAAATGTCGTGATCATACCCAAAACAGATCTTGTCCTAGATATTCATCTGATAAATCTGTAAACTAAATTTCATTTCAGTATGTTCGAAGGTTGTGAAGAAATGAACGGAATCTAAATGAACCAACAGACAGACAGACTGACCGACAGACAGCAGCAAAGCAATATGCCCTTCCTTCTTAGAAGGGGGGCATAATTAGATAGTACTTTTAGATAAAAAAGAATCCAAGATATTGAGTGTAAAATACTGTATATCAATAAATTTTCTTGACACCTATTTCGAAGGAGATAGTCATTGACTATTGATAGGCGAGACAAAATTTTCGTGAATTGTGGTTACTGCTTTATATTATCTTCAGGAATAATATTATATACGAGTATTAAATTTTTGCATTCATGTATTTATGCAAAAATAAAGTTCTCGTAAATAAAATCTTATTTAAAGTTCTCGTGAATAAAAACTTATCTACAGTATGTACAGAATGATTTGGACATCAACTGCATTATGCATGATATTTGAGATATCAGTATTCAAGATAAGTTCAACTGTATAGCAACAGCTTTATCAAATTGCAATAATGTTCACATGCAGCTAAAAATAGTAATTGCAAAGGAATAATTGCACAACTTTTTCCTTGTAAATTGTGAATTTTGAATACAGTAAAACACGGTTATAGCGAAGTCCTGGGGACCTGTGAATTTAATTCGCTATATCCGTAATTCGTTATATCCGTATAACGAATTAGTATAACCATATATAACGAATTCGCAATATGCATGTTTTCCTTCAAGTGTTACTATCAAATATGTTAGGGAAGCAAATATTACAAAACATACCTTCGATAACTAAGGTTTTATTATGAATTGAATTTTATATACAAATTCTGAGAGAACATAAAGTCAGTTCAATTATTCAAATTTTGAAATCTTTGAAAGTTCGTTATAAAAGATGTAAAATTCATTATATTTAACCTCAACGGGACTCAAAATCAGTTCGCTATATCCGTAAATTCGTTATATCAGAGTTCGTTATAACCGTAAAATTTTACAAAGATTTGTAAAGAATTTTGCCGGGGACCCAGTTAAACTTCGTTATATCCGTGAATTCGCTATATCCGTGTTCGTACTAAACGTGTTTTACTGTAGTCTTAATGACAAAATGCGAATAAACAGAGCATAATGTTACATTTAGTAAGTCATACATGTAACAAAGGCAATTCAATTTGTATAAATTTTGTGTAAAATCATTAAAACAGTCTTAATCAGTTTTCATAGGTGGATATACTCATTCCTGAATGGATTATTGATATTTGTCATGTTGTATTTTCAAAGGCATTTTTTTCAAAATGTGTTCTAAATGTGGATAACCATAAAAATATCTTATGAAGCAATGAACTAAACAGAAGGATCTTGTATAGAGCAGCCTTAATTTGTTTCTGAATGCGTACCAAATATATTTTTTTTTAAATAAGAAGAGATTACAAAAATAACTTTAAAGAATTAATTAATTACAATTGTAACTTAAAATTCTATTAAATTTTTTCACAAGATCCTTCTAGCATAACCTCAAATTCTGTAAAAAGATGCATTTTTTGAGAATATATATACTGTAAATCTGGAAATTTTTATGTTGATTTATTTTTGCGAATTTGGGTCAAAAAGTTGTTGATTAATTTTTACGCTTCAAAATTTTGCGAATTGTTACTGGCGGTAAAAATAACAAGAGGCCCATGGGCCACATCGCTCACCTGAGAAGCTTTGACCATTCTGTTCTTTACCAGATTTCACCCTTGTTATACATAATGTATCCCCACCCTACCCCACTGATCATAATTTAGACATTTTGAAATCTACACTACCCCATGATCCTTCCATGGGCACATATGTTTCAGCTTTTTTGGCCCAGTGGTTCCTGAGAAGAAGATTTTCAAAGATTTTTCCTATATATTTCTATGTAAAACTTTGATTCCCTATAATGGCCCCGCCCTTCCCCCGGGGGTCATGATTCCTACAATTTAGAATCTACACTACCCCAGAATGCTTCCACATAAGCTTCACTTTTTCTGGCCCAGTGGTTCTTGAGAAGAAAATTTTCAAAGATTTTTCCTATATATTTCTATATAAAACTTTGATTCCCCATTGTGGCCCCGCCCTTCCCCCGGGTGTCATTATTTGAACAATTTAGAATCTACACTATACCAGGATGCTTCCACATAAGTTTCAGCTTTTCTGGCCCAGTGGTTCTTGAGAAGAAGATTTTCAAAGATTTGTCCTATATATTTCTATATAAAACTTTGATTCCCCATTGTGGCCCCACCCATCCCCCGGGGGTCATTATTTGAACAATTTAGAATCTACATTATACCAGGATGCTTCCACATAAGTTTTAGCTTTTCTGGCCCAGTGGTTCTTGAGAAGAAGATTTTCAAAGATTTTTCCTATATATTTCTATGTAAAACTTTGATTCCCCATTGTGGTCCCACCCTTCCCCCCGGGGGTCATGATTTGAACAATTTAGAATCTACACTATACCAGGATGCTTCCACATAAGTTTCAGCTTTTCTGGCCCAGTGGTTCTTGAGAAGAAGATTTTCAAAGATTTGTCCTATATATTTCTATATAAAACTTTGATTCCCCATTGTGGCCCCACCCATCCCCCGGGGGTCATTATTTGAACAATTTAGAATCTACATTATACCAGGATGCTTCCACATAAGTTTTAGCTTTTCTGTGGTTCTTGAGAAGAAGATTTTCAAAGATTTTTCCTATATATTTCTATGTAAAACTTTGATTCCCCATTGTGGTCCCACCCTTCCCCCCGGGGGTCATGATTTGAACAATTTAGAATCTACACTATACCAGGATGCTTCCATATAAGTTTCAGCTTTTCTGGCCCAGTGGTTCTTGAGAAGAAGATTTTCAAAGATTTTTCCTATATATTTCTATATAAAACTTTGATTCCCCATTGTGGCCCCGCCCTTCCCCTGGGGGTCATGATTTGAAAAATTTAGAATCTACACTACCCCAGGATGCTTCCACATAAGTTTCAGCTTTACTGGCCCAGTGGTTCTTGAGAAGAAGATTTTTTAATGACCCCACCCTATTTTTGTCTTTTCTTGATTATCTCCTCTTGCGAGGGGAAATGTCCCTTCAGTTTAACAATTTAAATTTCCCTTTACCCAAGGATGCTTTGTACCAAGTTTGGTCAAAATTGGCCCAGTGGTTCTTGAGAAGAAGTCGAAAATGTGAAAAGTTTACAGACGGACAGACAGACAGACGGACGGACGGACAGACGGACGGACGACGGACAAAATGTGATCAGAAAAGCTCACTTGAGCCTTCGGCTCAGGTGAGCTAAAAATCACTTAAGGTCAAGATCTAGTAAATAACTTGAGACTAATTTTTTGGTGCTAGATCCATTATGACGTCATAATCAGTTTCAACTTTCTTTTTCCCGTACTTAACAGCTTTAGCAGAATTATGTAGAAAATAGGGTATTTTCATGTCATTCAATTTGAAATCATATGAAAAGTAAACCGGATACCTATATAAAATTTGATATTGATTTAAAGAAGAGGCCAAGAACATATTAATTACCATTTTCTGAGAGACTGTAGGCAATCTGGATACATTTCCTTTGCCGAATACGAAAAAACTCCCATATTCATGACTGGTTTTCTTAATTTTTCATTGAAAATGACAGTTTAAAATACAGTTTTTCATCTTGTTTACCTATAAATTATGCCCCGAAACACCTTATTTGACCAAGCTAAAGTTGTAAAGCATCAATAAAGGAATTTATTTCTCAAGTTTGATAAATCTGCATGTAGGCACCTTTCATTTACTAGATCTTGACCTTAAGATTTTCATATCAGTTTATTTTTCAAAATAAAATGTACAATTAGAATACCACCAATATACTTGCAACGTGGCAAGAAATTGCAGGATCGCTCCAAAACAATTTTGAAGATAAAAATACAAAAGGATTTGCACTGAACATAACTTCTAAATTAATAATAACAAACCTTTTAAAGGTTGTTTAAGCCTTTTTACCTAATTTATAATCCAAATAAAGACAAAAATATAACAGTTTACATTTGGAACTCTCTAGTAAATGCACTGAGTTCAAGTTATCGCTCATGTTGATACCTGGTTAGATAAAATAACTGGTCTCTATTTCTTGGCAAAATAATTAAAAAGGACATACCATCTAAGCTTGTGAAACCATCAGACGATATTGCATATAATGAGGACAATTTACTCGCATGGGTAATTAGCTTTTTTTAAAATGACCAGTGCTTACGACGCCTATTCACCGAGTTAGAAATAGACACCAACTTTCAGAAAAAAAATTCTTTACATGTTGATTTATTTTTAAGAAAAATATTTTTGCGAATGCAATGCACGCACAAATTTGCTAAAAATTCATATACAGTAAAAATTTCCAGATTATGGTAATGAGACATTATTTATCATACAATGAACTTAATCTATAGATAATCCCATGGTTGCAAACCATGGCTAAAATGTACAATCCTCTCCCATTCTGGCCATGGTTGAATGAGAAGAGAATATTTTGTAGCTCATTAAAATATTGACCAATGCGAGTAAAGCATAGTCGGAAAATGAACTTTGATGTGACCATTCAATACCCAATCTAAGTTTACAAAATATTGTTGTAAACTGATGATGCCAGTCAGTTGCATGTTGATTTCAATTGCAACGAAAACAAATACTGTCATTGGCTGAACATGACATCACAGCATACAGTCGTAAATATTCAAGATTTCAAGCAGCCACGGTTTGGAAATAGCTATAAGCGGACTCTGAACCGTGGCTTGAGATGACGAGATAATCCCCTTTATCAATATCTTGTATTGTCTCACCTTCCTCAGATCGTCCAGCTTGGTGAGACTCCTCAGGGCCAGTATTGCACTAATCTGAACACTCTGTTGCTGCTCATGGCAGGCTAAGTCTAATAACCTAGAATCCAAAATTAAAATCAAAGATTTTAATACCCAACTTCAAGCTAAGAACATAGGCATATGTTTCCATTGATTTATACAAACTTTTGAAAATTCAAGTTCAGTAAAACTCGGTTATAGCGAAGTCCTGCGGATCTGTGAATTTAATTCGCTATATCCGTAATTCGTTATATCCGTATAACGAATTCGTACAACCATATATAGTGAATTCGCATTGTGCATGTTTTCCTTCGTGTTTCTACCAAATATGTTAGGGAAGCAAATATTACAAAACATACCTTTGATAACTAAAGTTTCATTATGAATTGAATTTTATATACAAATACTTAAAGAAAATAAAGTCAGTTTAATTTATCAAATTTTGAAATCTTTGAAAGTTTGTTATAAAAGATGTAAATTTCATTATATTTAACATCAACGGGACTCAAAATCAGTTCACTATATCCGTAAATTCGCTATATCAGAGTTCGTTATATCCGTAAAATTTTACAAAGATTTGTTAACAATTTTGCTGGGGACCCAGGAAAACTTCGCTATATCTGTGAATTCGCTATATCCGTGTTCGTACTAAACGAGCTTTACTGTAGATATGGGCAGAGATCAGACATGACATTTAAAAAGCTTAAGTAATCAGAAGCGTAGTCACAAACTTAAAAGTGGGGGGGCTCAAGTTCAGAAATTCTTTGACAAGCAAAAAAAAAAAAAAATGAAAATTGCCCAAAGACGAAAATCATATTTCGGGGGGGGGGGGGGGGGGGGGGGGGGGGACAGTGGCCAACTTTTTTTTCAAAGGCAAGTTACCTTCAATTCCAATTTTTCTACACAACTATATATTGATATTAATTCAAAATAGCTGTTATTTTGTTCTTCATTAAAAAGTGGGGGGGGCACAGACATACTCTTGCCCCCCCCAGATCTGAAAGTGGGGGGGCTAGTACTACGCCTATGTAATTAATGCATCTAATGTCAGACTTATCAACATTTTAATCAGTTTAGGTACTTTTTTAGGCTGGTACTTTATTTGAGCTAGTCAGGCTGTGCTTTGGGACTAGCACAATACATGCAAGTGTCCACTAATATCAAGATTAGGAAAGTGTAATAAAACTATATACTTAGACAGCTGAACTTGGATATTCTACTTTTATTATGTGTGTTAACTCTTCAGTTATACATGTAAGGCATTAAGTTTAAAAATATGAATATTTTGGCTTACAGTCAGACTGACTAATTAGCCATATAAGAAATATTGCTTTGACTTAAATGAATACAATACATAGCAAATCAGTGCTTCACTCTAAAAGATAATGCTATACTTCAGGATGACCTCTGTATGTCCTCTACAATTACACTTGCAATCTAAGGAGAAAGTATAAGTTTGAGTGTAAAAAAGCACTTTTATTAATCTGGAAATTATTTTACCTGACAACAACTTTGGATTTCTTCAAATCAGACACCAGAACATTGGAATGAATTCCAAAATTGCCACAGGCACCTGTGAAACAAAAAAAATGCATCATGGTAATACATGTACAATTATATTTTAGTACAGCTGTACGTACTAATGACAAGTGGGAGGAGAGATTAAAATTCAATTTTCAAACTTTTAAATATTGCAGGTAATGAATTTATTAATAAATATACACATACTTATGTAAGAGGCCCATAGATCCACAGCAACATTTATTTAATTTGCTACATGTATATTTTATGTTAACTAAAGAATTATTGTGGCTGTTCTTCCCTGGTTAACCAAATATGAAGGAGAGTATATTCAAAGTACAGAATCAATTTTAAAAGCTTAGTATATCAGTACTCAAGGTCTCCTATCCATTTTGCAATCTTTAGCAGAACATGTTTCCCTCATTGTGGTTAAAGAACAAACTGAATTTTTCTAATTCAAGTTTCTTTTCAGTTCAGTATAATTATGAAGTTTATTACTTATAAATCCAAGAACTTCGGCATTTCATTCCTGTAATTTTTTGAAATTTTCAACTTTTAATTTTCAACATTTTTAGTTTCTGACATTTTGAATTTTTGTCACCGACATTCTTCAGGTAGTTCTTTTTGGTATAGTGAAAGCAGGATAGAGGATTTTACTTATGAAAAATTATAATGAATAAATCATAGCACATGTATATCATTAGTCTTGGACAAAATTCAGTGCATTCGTTGACCTAGTTTTTAGTACTTACTGGTAGCATTTGGCCTAGTTTGGCCATTATCTTTTGACCTACTTTTCAGTACTTACTGGCAGCATTTGCCCTAGTTTTGGCCATTATCTATTTACCTAGTTTTCAGGAATTACTGGCTGCATTTGCCCTAGATTTGGCCATTATCTATTGACCTAGTTTTCAGTACTCACTGGCAGCATTTGACCTAGTTTTGGCCATTATCTATTGACCTAGTTTTCAGTACTTACTGGCAGCATTTGACCTAGTTTTGGCCATTATCTATTTACCTAGTTTTCAGGACTTACTGGCAGCATTTGCCCTAGATTTGGCCATTATCTATTGACCTAGTTCTCGGTACTTACTGGCAGCATTTGACCTAGTTTTGGCCATTATCTTTTGACCTAGTTTTCAGTACTTACAGGCAGAATTTGACCTAGTTTTGGCCATTATCTATTGACCTAGTTTTCGGTACTTACTGGCAGCATTTGACCTAGTTTTGGCCATTATCTATTTACCTAGTTTTCAGGACTTATTGGCAGCATTTGCCCTAGATTTGGCCATTATCTATTGACCTAGTTCTCGGTACTTACTGGCAGCATTTGACCTAGTTTTGGCCATAGGATCCCGTAGCAACTCCACCAATGTTGGAATCACTGGCTTCAGCTTCATGTACAGCTCTGATGAGTGGAATGCAGCATTGCCAATAGCATAAGTGGCTCCCTAGAAAAAACAAATACTGTCTTGGGATCTGAAGTAAAAATTTGTTCCTTAAAAAAATCATAATCACTTCTACAGAGTGATTCATTTAGGATTAACAAAAATACAAATTTCCTGATTTTACTAGGTTAATATGTAAAATCTTTGAAAAAAGTCAAATTAAATACATGTATGTTGTTGAAGAATTTTTAGTTCTAAAACCAATAGTCTCTGACTCGACTGTAGCTCTACTGGTTTGCACCATATACAGCGAGGGAATTAAGAGAAAGGTAGCACTTTGACATGACTATAACAATAAAGAGAATAGTAAGCCCTTGCTTTATTACTTTTCTTTGTCAAATTTAATTGCAATATGAGTTTATCTGTAAGATATGTATCATTTTATAAGAATTTCATTAGATATCGCTATAGTAACCATGGCAAATCCATTTATCAATATCAATGAAAGGAATTCTTAACTTATTGAAGTTTATTTGCAGAGTTCTTGAGGGTGTGGCCCTTCATTTTAACAAACTTGAATCCCCTTCACCTAAAGATACTTTGTGGCATGTTTGGTTGAAATTGGCCCAGTGGTTCTTGAGAAGAAGATGAAAAGTTTACGCCGACGACGATGACAGACAAACAAATTTTGATCAGAAAAGCTCACTTAGAAGGCTCAGGTGAGTGCACTGAAGCATACTTCATGCCAAGTTGATCGTCATATAACAGGTTTTGTTGAATTCTCGTGGGGGTTGATTTTCTTCATTTGTTTTTAATCTAGTTTGATTTTCTCACCTGCCTTACCTTATCGCCTTCAACAAACTTGTTTTAACAGTATATCAATCAAAGTTTGGCACTTGTGTTTATTGAAGAAGCCATAATGATTTCAAGATACAGAAAGTAATCGGTCCTGTGTTGTTTTTATCGGTCTTGCCAACATGACAGAAAGATTTCAAGAACTCTGTTTATTTGTGTACAAAATGTTATTGAAATCAAACCAAAACAATAGGGAAAGTAGTATTTTAAAGGAATTCTACAGAATTTTTATTTTTGATAACTATGGCAACATCACAAATCAAAATCGATATTAGTAATATAATATTTAATATAATCTATTTCTGTTTTAAGTTTTACTAGAATCAGACTAAAACTGAAGGAGAAGGTGTTTTGAGAAATTTTAACCAAAAACTTTAGTAATTATTGCATTAGAAGTTTGAATCTAAAAGTAGTCATGTATTGTTATGTTAAAACCAAAATTTAGGAGGAGGAGCATTTTGTAAATTGTTTACAGGTATACAGATGGAAGGAAATTGGCATTTTTCATCACACAACCTCATTTATCATATAGTCAAACCTGCTGATATGGCCAACATTAATCACTGGCTACTTCCCACAAGGGGCCAGTTTCAATTCTTCCCTTAATTTTTTTCCCACTATTTTTAAAAACTCATTCAAGTGTTCAGCTGTTGAAACACAGGGAGTGTTTTTTTTAATGTCCCAAACTTTCACTGGCATTTTCTTAGTTTTGACACATGACCTTGTATCCAAGGCCAGATTTAAATAACTGATAATAGTTAATGACCAAGAATTGGGTGTAATTTGAATTATGATAGGATTTTATGAGACAACTAGGTGATTGCTATTTAACACATATTTTGTGGTGTTATATACATGTACAAATTCAAAGTAAGTTCATGGTATAAACTCAATTCAATAAATTGTAAAAAAAAAAATTTGCCCAAGGTTAACAAGTGGTTTGATTGATTGATTGATTGATTGTATGTTGTTTTTCATCCCATTGGAGAGGTTTTCACTCATAAAAAGACATCACCATACAAAAGGCCCAAAGGACTTGAATCCCTTTTCTGATAAATTGTACAACCAATCATTTCAATTTCCTTTATATTTAGATAAAGCCTTGAAATTCCAAAAAGTAGGTCACCATGACTTACATTTTAGTCAAAACACTCAAGATGAATCAACTGACAAAGTGTGAAAATAATCAGATATAGCCATTAAATTCTAAAAGTAGGTCACAGTGACCCGCTTTTTGTTTACATACTCCAAGACCCTAAAATACCTCAACTGACAATGTTTTTTTTTTTTAAGTCTCTTAAAATTTGAAATATTTGGATATTTCCTTGAAATTCCAAAAAAGATAACAGTGAGGTCTACTTTTGGACTAACACATTCTGGAAACCCAAAATGTATGAACTGACAAAGTTTGAAGATTCTTACCTAATTAGTACCTGAGATATTTACATACAGTAATTAAATTTTTAAAAGTAGGTCATGTGACCTACTTTTGGTTTACGTTCTTCCAAGACCCAAGATGCATCAATTGACAAAGTTTGATGTTTCTAAGCCAATAAGTACCTGATTACAATTAAAATCATAACCACTAAATGATTTATCTTGATGTTCACACATCTAATAATGTTGGTCGCCACGTGGCGCAGTGGTTAGAGCATCTGCTCTAGAGTCACGAAGTAAGGAATTGATCCTTAGGTCAAGGTTTCGAACCCCACTGCGGGACGCGGCGACCGGTTCTTCAGATGAGACCATATAAACCGAGGCCCCGTGTTGCAGTAGGTGCTGGCACGAAAAAGATCCCTCCCTGCTCAAAAGCCCTGAGTGCCGAGTATTGACAAAGTTTGATGCTCTCCACCGGCAAGTGGTGGCAAACACATATGAGTGAAAAATTCCACTAAATGATTTATCTTGATGTCCACACATCTAATAATGTTAATTGAATAACTCTTTTCTAAGAAATAGTCATTTTATTTCTTTTCAATATACATGTACACAGATACAGTGAAACCGGTAACTGACCAATATTACATGTCCTGGGACATAAATAGACAATGCGTCATACTTTACATTGTATAGAAGATGGAAATCAGTCAATTTGTAATGAAAGTAAAAGTTGCAATGCACAGGGAAAAATTGCTCAGTGTAAGATATCCTATATATACCAACCTAGAAGTTTGTTGCGTTTTAATGTTAGGCTCTTTAAAATACCAATCTCTATAAAGCGCCTATAAGTTGGACAAAGACTTTTGCATCAAAGCCTAACTCCCAAAAAACAACTTAAAAGCAAGCATATACAGTAATGCATTTTTTACTGTAGATTGAAGCACTAGACACTAAAGATCTTTTACCATGCATAAGTTCTTTCAATCTTTGTCCAGTAAAGCTAATGGAGAACTAACTTTGACAGGTTTAGGGTTTGGAAATCATTACCTTTCTCACATTGGGATCTTCATCTTTTAAACACTTTGACAGTGCAATAAATATTTTTTCCCTGTGAAAAAAAAAAAATCACGGTTAAGTAAGTTAACATTAAATTCACTTCTAACTCAGTCTTTTAACCAGTGTAAGTTGAGCAAGTAAAAACTGATCTTTAAAAGACTGGCTTCTCTTTGCAACAATAAGCCTCCTCTCTAATTCCACATTTTCAATGACTTATTGGGTGGTTCCAAAGGTGTATTTATATTTGTCACCTATCATCAAGGTTAAAATAAACTTTTCCTAATAAAATTTTGTTCTTTTAATACCAGCAGTGCTTGATGATTAAGTCACATGTCTTCTTATAGCTACATGTATCTGTAAGGAAATTAGGCACCCATCTGACAGAAATATGTTTTTGATTCATTTTATCTGTCAGAAAACTACATGTATCATGAAAATGAAATATATAATGTTTTCCTGCTGCTCTTACTTTTGTTTGAGGGTGGGGTAGAAGTGATGTGTAAGCTTGGTGTGTAGACATGATGACATAGACTTACTTTTGTTTGAGGGTGGAGTAGGGATGATGATACATACTTTTGTTTGAGGGTGGAGTAGAGATGGAGATACAGACTTACTTTTGTTTGAGGGTGGAGTAGAGATGATGATACTTACTTTTGTTTGAGGGTGGAGTAGAGATGGAGATAGAGACTTACTTTTGTTTGAGGGTGGAGTAGAAGTAGTTGTTGTGTTTGAGGAGGTTCCCTATCAGGCTACAGATCCTGGACCTCACGGCAGCAGAATGATGAGTAAGCATGATGTGTAAAGGTTCAAAGTCGCCTATAAACAGCAATTTGTCAGTTTTAGCTTAAAAAGATCTTCATTGGAATTACTTTTTCATTTATAATGCAGAAATATCTAAATACAAGAATGTATAGAAAATTCATATCATACATATTAAAGCAATGGCATTGCATTTATTTTTATGCCCTCATAAATGAAGATTCATGGGCATATAGATTTTGCTTTGTCTGTAAGAACTTTTTCCTTGGCCATAATTTTTGATTAGTTAAAGTTATGTCATTAATATTTCACATAGGTATTTCGTGTGACAAGAACCTTCTTTGGATACCAAACAAATCATTTGGCCTTATGACCTTGTCCTTTTAGTTTAAACCACTTTTTGCAAAAAATACTACACTTTAATCTTGGCTGTTTAAATGTATTTCTTATGATAAGATTTTACCTTGGGTTCAAACATTTTTAATCCCATGACATTAATCTTTGAATTTGGCCTACTTATGAAAATTAATGTTGGGCATAAGATTTAAATGGTTGTAGATAGGGATTTCATATTCACAAGTACTCGGTATACTTTTTGTGATAAGACCCAACATCAACTACCAACAAAATTATCCTTTGACCTTGAAGTTTGACCTACTTTTGAAAAAAACTATAACCTTGGCTATACCTTTTGAACAATTGGTGCTATGGGTTTCATATTCACACATTTTCCTTGAGAGAAGTCTTTAATTTGGGGTACTGAGGAATTTGATCTTTTGATCTTTTACCTAATTTTGAAATAACTTGAACTTAGGTCATTACTTCTGACCAGGTGGTGCTATGGCTTTTATATTATATATAAATGTGTTTTTTTTCTTCTGGGGAGAGTTTCAATTGGGAACAAACAATTTTGATTTCTTGACATCGACCTTATGTTTATAGTTTGACTTGCACTTTAAATTTTTTCTCTCCTATGCATGAGCTGCTATACAGGGATATCAGTGTTTCACAAACACATCTTCAAATATCAAGTATCAAATACTAAAAGATAGAGGTCAAATTAATTGATTTTTTTAAGAACACATATAAATATGGTATTAAAATGAAGTGTTTATTTAATATGCGACATTTACTGAAAGCATTAATCCACTTTAAGTACATGTGTTTACCTTTCATTCCTAGGAAGACACTTTTAACTATGGTGAGGTTTTCTGGTTCTAGTCTTATAAGATGTCCACACATGGAAATCACATCACAGATAACAGAGAGAGGACTGCTTAACTGGACACAGTTAGATAAAAATTGTACAGCCTGGAAAGTATGGAATGTTTCAGTTATTGAAAAAAATAAATGGAATAAAAAGGATAAATGTAGACTTAAATAAATAAACCTCAAAACAGTCATAGGAAAACTTCTTTACACGACAAAAAGATATCAACTCTGGGTTCTGAAACAATCATGTTGATTATGCATAAAATATAACTGACGTGCGCATGATCAAACCTTAAAATCTTCTACAGCTTGAGCGAACTGTTCAACAAACATCTGGTTTCCTAGTACCAGCCTAGCCAGCAGGCCTATAGCAGTCTCCAGCTGATCTAACTGAAGGTACTTAGTGCAGGCATAGAAAATACGAGGCAATACAGAGGTCTCATACAGACATCTACAATGGAGAAATATTCTATTTCAATCTCCATAGGGAAAAAAGTGATTAAAAACACAACTTCCTAAGAGATGATTTTCATGTTATACAAAAGTGCTCAATATATTTGATGCCAATCTGAAATGCAAAATTTTAAATTAATTAACGAAATGCTGAAACATAATCATGTTTCTGTTCTTACTGTTGTACTTCAAGAAGGAGATCCTCAGCAATGTCAACAGCGAATGGAAAACAACAGAGCTGAGTGACTTCTAGGATCATATCAACAGTTAACTGTGGTCCGTCACTACTGAACCTGTAAGTAAGGAAATGGAATGGTAAGGTATTCTCATGTACATTTCAACTTGAATACCTCAAAGAATTGATCTATCTGATTTATCACAAGACATTTTTACTCATAATTAATAGTATAAAAATCTATGACAAACTGTAAACCAACTTTTATTTGCATGCGAGAAATTTTTGCGAGGTTCACGAAAGTATTGTCATCGGGAATATTTCTCGCCATGAATTGGTCCTAAAAGTCTCTGGGTCTATTATCAAAAGATCCAAAGGAGGCTTGCTCGCGAAAATTTATCTTCGCGAATAACTTTACAACCGGTAAATAGCAAAATAAAGTCGATGCGAATAAATGTTGGTTTACAGTATAAGCTTTCATCAGGTCGGTTTCTCTGTTTTCCTTAACTTTTATTTCATTATTTGTTTGACAACTTACCCCTTGTACATACAACTCAGGAATTCTTTATGCATAAGATGTACAATAGTGAGTAGAATGATACTGTCAGGTACAGCTAAGTTAGGGATACACTGGTTAGTCTCCTTGGTGAAAACAGTGACTGCTAACTGTAAAACAGCCATGAGGCCCTGAGGGGATACGAGGGTCCAATCGGGGGCGTGGAACCCCTGCTGTTCGTCACACTCCATCTCGATGTCATGTATGGGGGCGTCTGTGTCGGGGTTAGTGACCTGTAGAGCCTGGGCCACCCTGTGCCACAGGGTCCCCCAGATTCCTGTTTCTATATATAGCTGGGCAACCGGGCCTTCTGACTATAAAGAATTAAGTACATAAAATTTTGGAAATCAATTTACCTTGTCATGCTATTAGTTCCATGTTTAAAGATTAATTACAAGAAATCAATTGAAATTTACAATCATGCAAAATAAGCAATCTGACTGATTTACCTGGGCCAACATTTCACAAAGAAGTAACAAGAGTCCATCCAACACCCCATAGTCAAATGGACATCTTACACAAATCTGAAAATAAGAGTTGTTTCCCTTTAATAACAGTCAGATCATTCATATTACTACCGATGTGCAAACTGAAGAAAATATCAATTCATTTTTTATTACTTTTGAAACTGATCCATCTTTATTAATTTTTTTTAACATTCCTTTTTAGAAATGGAATATGACATCAATAAGACTTAATATCACTCAATTTATGGTATATGTAATATAAATATGCAGCAGTTTACACATGCCTGTTGTAGATCCGTGAACACTGCTAGACAAGCCTGTAACATCTCCTCTGGTTGTACTTCTACAGTCATCCCACAATAGATCATCTGACTGAACAACAAGGCCGCCGCCGCCTGTCAAAGGGATAAAAAAAACTGGTGTATTACTAAGGAATGTGCACACTGTTCCTATTATATTTTTCATATTACTGATCAATCTGGACACTAGAAATACAATTATACTCAAATACATATACATACTGTGTGACTGGCAATGGTAGACTCCAGAAAGATAGAAATCATCAGACCAGCTGCATCAGAAAGTCTACAATACAGAGTACATCACAAGTGAATTTTGATATAGAAAATACATGTATTACCGGTAGTCATTTTAACGTCCAATTTCTTACAGTAATATTCTAATGCCTCAATAGTGATAGTTCTAAATATGTCTTACGCTGGTGACAAGGTTTGTAGCTGTATTATGATGGTACTGAACACATGTATCACCGTCTCTATCACAGAGTTAATCTCCATGTCTTGTATTTCCACCTACAAAAATAAGATAGCAAAAGCAATTCAGACATTTTGTTCATGATATAAGTCATAAAAAGGTTTTATTTTGACAAGAAAAAATTTTAGTCAGTTTTTGAAAACAATTGCTTGAATAGATTAGGTTTTAGGGGGAAGTGTTTGTTATAGTGTAACATGAGAGACTTGTGAGTGTTACCTTCCCCATGAGTATGCCGAGTAAGGACTCCATGTGTTTAGTAGAGTTGGAGATATACGCACTGAAAGTCTGGGACACCTGGCAGCAGGCATACACAACCTGGAGTAAAACAGACAGAGTTAGTGTTCTGCAGGGTTCTCCACATTTGAAAATTTAACCATGGAGGAAACTGCGTGAAGGTGAAATGTGGCCAAAAACACTAATGCATCTTAGACTTCCTAATCTTCATTTAATCAATGATTGGTTTTTACAATTTTTAAACTTACCTACTGCAATACAAAACAATGAAATAACTAACACTCTTTAAAGTGAAAAAAATATTAATTAAAATTGAAAAGGATTTATCCTGTATCTACTTCACAAATGTATCAAAATTTGCCCAAAACTGTAGTAACCTTCTGAAGGAATTTAAAGAAAAAATGTTGATACAGGTAGCCAGTAACCATGGCATTAGATTACTAATTATAAGAATTGTAGCCTGTTTTATGAATGTTTTGTTTCAATATGACTATAAAACTGATGAATGGATAGTGTTTTTTTAAGTTAACACACAGAAGAACATTTGGACTAGTGTCCTTTTTTCTAAACGTTTTATTTGTCTAGATATTGCATTAATCACCCAGTTTTGTTTTCTTCTTCACGTGTCCAGAGCTAAAAATAGCGCCACGCGACATTTCATAACAACGGGAAGTAAGTCTAACAAGAGGCCCATGGGCCACATCGCTCACCCGAGCATTGTGGCTAGGAAAAAGTAGAAATTGGTTTACAATACTATATAAAAGTGTAAAATCAAACGTTTGGCCCTGCCCTACCCCTGGGGGTCATGATTTGAACAAACTTGAATCTACACTACCTGAGGATGCATCCATATAAATATGAGCAATTATGGCTTTGCTATTCTTGAGAAGAAGATTTTTAAAGAGTTTTCCTATATATTTCAATATAAAACTTCCGGCCATTGTGGCTCCGCCCTACCCCCGGGGTCATGATTGGAACAAACTTGAATCTACACTACCTGGGGATGCTTCCACATAAATATGAGCAATTATGGCTTTGCTATTTTTGAGAAGAAGATTTTCAAAGAATTTACCTATATATTTCTATATAAAACTTTGGTCGGCCATTGTGGCCCCGCCCTACCCCCGGGGTCATGAATTGAACAAACTTGAATCTACACTACCTGGGAATGCTTCCATATTTATTTATATAAATATTAACAATTATGGCTTTGCTGTTGTTAAGAAGAAGAATTTTTAAAGAATTTTCCTATATATTTCAATATAAAAATTTGGTCGGCCATTGTGGCCCCGCCCTACCCCCGGGGTCATGATTTGAACAAACTTGTATCTACACTACCTGGGGATGCTTCCATATAAATATTTGCAATTATGGCTTTGCTGTTCTTAAGAAGAAGATTTTTAAAGAATTTTCCTAAATATTTCAATTTAAAACTTTGCTCGGCCATTGTGGCCCCGTCCTACCCCCGGGGGTCATGATTTGAACAAACTTGAATCTACACTACCTGGGGATGCTTCCATATAAATATGAGCAATCATGGCTTTGCTGTTCTTGAGAAGAAGATTTTTAAAGAATTTTCCTATATATTTTTATATGAAACTTTGGTCGGCCATTGTGGCCCCGCCCTACCCCCGGGGGTCATGATTGGAACAAACTTGAATCTACACTACCTGGGGATGCTTCCATATAAATATGAGCAATCATGGCTTTGCTGTTCTTGAGAAGAAGATTTTTAAAGAATTTTCCTATATATTTTTATATGAAACTTTGGACGGCCATTGTGGCCCCGCCCTACCCCCGGGGGACATGATTTGAACAAACTTGAATCTACACTACCTGAGGATGTTTCCCCATAAGTTTCATCTTTCCTGGCACAGTGGTTCTTGAAAAGAAGATTTTTAAAACATACCACCAAATTTTCACTAATTCTCAATTATCTCCCCTTGAATGAGGGCGTGGCCCTTCATTTTAACAAACTTGAATCCCCTTCACCCAAGGATGCTTTGTGGCAAGTTTGGTTGAAATTGGCCCAGCGGTTCTTGAGAAGAAGTCGAAAATGTGAAAAGTTTACAGACAGACAGACGGACAGACAGACAGACGGACAGACGGACGCCGGACAAAATGTGATCAGAAAAGCTCACTTGAGCCTTCGGCTCAGGTGAGCTAAAAACTAAGACGGCGATCGAGACGCAGGCCCTATACACATTTTATCAAAAAGACAATAAAGTTAAAGCTTATAAAACAGAGCATAGGGAATTGATTAAATACAGAGGAATATGAAATTTTTACAGAGTATTTTTTTCTGGCACAGAAACTTGAATCGCAAGCATGACGATTTTTGTGCTTGTAATATCGTATCGGTATTAAATTCTAATTGTTTATAAACCCGTTATATATCTAATCATGTAGTGAACATGTTGAAGTTCCCCAAAATTATTTACATGTGTACGGGATAATTAACTCTCAAAATATTGATCAGCTGATTGACTCTCCATTGATTGTCACGCTTCACAGCATAGTCGCCGATTAACGACGTGTTTGTTTAGCACAGTCCGCTTTCCTTCGAGGCATGCCAGGTGCATGGCAGTCGTAGTATAAACACAATTAACTACTCAAGTCATTAAACAAAGTAGGTGTCAGGACTGAAATGCAGTAAAATTTAATCATGGCGGATGCTGATTTTAACCATGGCGCAGCTCGTTTAACCATGGCGCACATAAATTTGACCATGGCGCGCCGCCATGGTAAAACCCCTTGTGGAGAACCCTATCCATCTTCCCAAGTCAAGGGTTTTGATCCGCTCTGCTTCAAATAAACTGTGGACCGAAGTGGATCAAAAACTCTCGTTTAGGAGTATGCATCCTTTCTAGCCATGAAAAAAAGAGTTAACTTATGTATTGTAGCTCAAAATGATGCATTTGTAAAAATATTATTAGATACTCTGGTGTACTCTATATGTCATGATGAATACAAATATTATGAAGTCTGTCAGTATAAATGTTTGTGGATACATATCTACCATCTTAATGGATATAACCTACCTTTGGGAATTGAACCCATGTTTCAGAAGTTTGATTTCTTTGGAAACAATGTCAACTGTATGTTATTTGAAAAAAGAAGTAACATGACTTACAAGGAAAATGTTTACCTTTTTGTTGAAAATTGAAGCATAATAAGGAAAAAAAAAGTTGTCCATAAACTTTTCAGATGACCCTCACATTTAAAAATTGACCTTCTAAAATAATGAACCTGTCTTACCTTGAGAACATTTGAGCAGTGAGCTGGATGTCTCAGTAATATTATGAACTCATCAGCAAGCTGTTCTGAGCCATGGTGAGCCAGTTTGTCTCCAACATACAGGGCAATCTGTAAAGTAAAATCATTTAAACTCTTTAAAAGAATTGAGATAATTTTTCACTCATTTCAAAATCAAATTCAAATTGTAAGCTCACAAGTTCCTAAAGGCCATAGTCTCACCAAACATATAAGAAAAACACAGAAATATATTTTGTACTTGAAAAAGTAAAGTAATGCAGTTTTTTTCTGTAATTTAAAGTTCTACAGTCATACTAGTATTATCTTAGATATAACTTTGTAACCCCTAACTTTGTATTACATTTATTCCCCATCAAATACCTTTCTCCTGCCGTCAGCGGCCTCATCCACAGACAGAGGTAGATTGACCATGGCCGCTATTGTAGTGACAGCTAACTGTATCAGAGCCTCCATCCTGTCAGCCGCTACCTCACCATTACCCTCAGCCAGGTCTAAATAAAGTCAAGAAAAAATCCCATGTAGTACATGTACAGTAAAATTCACAGTGCTACCGTCATCTTACCATAACCCTCCGCTAGGTCTAAAAAGAAAATCATGATTGTAGTACAGTAAATTTCATGGTGCTGCCACCTCCCAATTACTCTCAGCTAGGTCTACAAACAGGTACAGAAAAACAGATCAATTTATGAAAAATTTAGAATGCTGTTGCAACCTAACTCTATGTTAGGTCTGGAAACTGACAAAATACATACATGTACTGTCATGTCCAAAGAGAGAATACTGAGCTAATGAGTAAGAGAAAATACAATCATTTAATATCTTTGTTATTAACCAATTTAATGTCACAGATCAGCAGCTGGAAGAAGATTGACAGAATGAGGAAAACAAGGGGATCGCAGTGCAATCAAAATGGTGCCATTATTCCCATTTATCACATATCATGTTTAGGTACTTGAACAATGATTGTTCTTTCCTAACTTGAATGTTGACGTACCAGTGAGTGTTTTGAGGACATTAGGATCTCCCATGGTACAGCTGAGGATACAGTCCAGTGTGTTTGTCTGTTTAGTGGCCAGGTGAGTGAAGTACTGGTTAGCTAACTGAAGCTTGTTTCTCTCCATGGCTTCACAGGTGTACATCGCACACTGAAAAATGAAATTTATAAATTTTAATGTTCATAATCTTTATATTCCTTAAATTCTGCTTAAATTGATATTCAACTACATGTACACTAAGTATACAAAACTAGAACTGTCCAAACGGGACAAAATACCCCCGCTGGGTTTTTCAGAAGTAAGTTTTTCCATAATAAAGATATGTATCACACATGAATTATGAAATTTTTCTTCCAGTGACCTTAAAGTTCCCCAAATGACCTTGGGTCAAGGTCATGACACACCCTTGGGTCATGGGCAATCTTTGTGTGAAATGAGAACCTACCAAGTTTATCAATAAGAAAGATATGGACAGGACATGAATTATGAAGTTTTTCTTCCAGTGACCTTGAACTTCCCCAAATGACCTTGGGTCATGACACACCCTTGGGTCATGGGCAATCTTTGTGTAGAATGAGAACCTACCAAGTTTATCCATAAGAAAGATATTGACCAGACACAAATTATGAATTTTACTTCCAGTGACCTTGAACTTCTCCAAATGACCTTGGGTCAAGGTCATGACACGCCCTTAGGTCATGGGCAATCTTTGTGTGAAATGAGAACCTACCAAGTTTATCCATAAGAAAGATATGGACCGGACAGGAATTATGAACTTTTTCTTCCAGTGACCTTGAATTTCCCCCAATGACCTTGGGTCAAGGTCATGACACACCCTTGGGTCATGGGCAATCTTTTTGTGAAATGAGAACCTACCACGTTTATCAATAAGAAAGATATGGACAGGACATGAATTATGAAGTTTTTCTTCCAGTGACCTTGAACTTCCCCAAATGACCTTGGGTCAAGGTCATGACACACCCTTGGGTCATGGGCAATCTTTGTGTAGAATGAGAGCCTACCAAGTTTATCCATAAGAAAGATATGGACCAGACACAAATTATGAATTTTACTTCCAGTGACCTTGAACTTCTCCAAATGACCTTGGGTCAAGGTCATGACACACCCTAATGTCATGGGCAATCTTTGTGTGAAATGAGAACCTTCCAAATTTATCCATAAGAAAGATATGGACCGGACACTAATTATGAACTTTTTCTTCCAGTGACCTTGAACTTCCCCATATGACCTTGGGTCAAGGTCATGACACACCCTTAGGTCATGGGCAATCTTTGCGTGAAATGAGAACCTACCAAGTTTATCCATAAGAAAGATATGGACCGGACAGGAATTAGGAACTTTTTCTTCCAGTGACCTTAAATTTCCCCAATGACCTTGGGTCAAGGTCATGACACACCCTTGGGTCATGGGCAATCTTTGCATGAAATAAGAACCTACCAAGTTTATCCATAAAAAAGATGTAGACCGGACACAAATAATTAAATTTTTCTTCCAGTGACCTTGAAGTTCCCCAAATGACCTTGGGTCAAGGTCATGACACACCCTTGGGTCATGGGCAATCTTTGTGTGAAATGAGAACCTACCAAATTTATCCATAAGAAAGATATGGACCGGACTCGAATTATGAACTTTTTCTTCCAGTGACCTTGAACTTCCCCAAATGACCTTGGGTCAAGGTCATGACACACCCTAAGGTCATGGGCAATTTTTGTGTGGAGTAGTAGATTCTAATGTCCCTCCGTAAGAAAGATATGGACCGGACACGTTTGCATAGACAGACGGACAAGGTGATTCCTATATACCCCCCCAAACTTCATTTGCGGGGGGTATAAAAAGGTATATGTAGAGTCAAGGTAATTTAATAACAAGTTACTTTCGGTACTGCATAAATATAAGTATTAAATGGAAAACAATTTCATCTATTCTATCATTAGTTCTAACAATGTGACCACAGAAAAAAATTGTTTCTCAGGAAATGAGTTTGTGAAATATTAAAAATTTACAAATTTGTTGAATTTCTGCAAATCAGTGAGTTCTGATGAACTGATGACAATAAACATACCAGTACTGCCTGTTCTCTCAATCTGAGGTCTTCATCCTTTGGTTGGAATAAGAGCTGTGGCACCAAGGACATAAACTGTACCATGGCATCATAATACTCCTTAACACTACAAATCAATAACAAAATCAAAGGGAAAAATTAAACAGACTCCTACTTTACAGCATATGAAATTTACACAGGAACCAATTACAAGCTTATAACAGAAAACCTGTCTGAGGCATATAAATGTTTTGATGTAAGGAGTATTTATAGTCTCCACTTACATATCTTTATCTATGTCATCATTCCAGCTGATTTCACTGGCAAAGTAGGCATTCAGGGTAATAACAAGGTCTATCAGAATCTGCTGGCACCAGGGTTGCTGAAATCAATCCAACAACAGCTTTATAATTATCATCTTAAATTCCCATCATAACTTAATTCCAAAATAATCAATGGCAACCCATTTTTTTCTTATACAATAAGACATCAATTACCTATGTTCAAATCTGAAATATTTATTTAAAGCTGTCCCAAAAACTTTTACAAGTTTTATCTTTTTCAAAGTCTCTTTCAAGACGTCATTTAATTAACATTCTGAAAACATCTTAAAATGATCAGGTTAAATTCCAATTTAGTCAGTCCTATCTATTCTTAAATACATACCTGCTTAACTTTATTCTTGTCTAGAATTTCAGCAATCATATTGAGTGGATGCTTGGGTAAAGAGAGTGCTTTTACAAAGTCCAGAATCCATTTTATTTCACTAAATAAAAGAACACAATTGTACAAATGAAGCTTCATTTTCCTTCATCTATAAATACACTGTATGCCTTTTTGAAAGGTAGTTTTAGCTTTTTTATTATCTGCTTAGCAAGTTTTTTCCAATATGCCATCCCTAATATTAAAATTGATATAATGTTCCCAATTTGACTGTCCTTCTTACCATTTCAGTGTTACTAGGTTAGTGATGACCCGAAGCACGGTTTTTAACCTGGCTGCCCCCTCCAGCATTCCGTCCAGCACCTGAGCTGAGCTGGTCTGGATCCGAGACTTCAGCTTGTTCTGGAACTTGACGTCCTGTAGGAGTTTCAGGGCCACATCTGGATCCCCCTCCTGGTCTGTCTGTTCAATCAGTCCCTGCCACTCATCATCACTGTCCACTTCCTGTAAATAGTCATTGTCATATTTAGTTATTCAAATTAAGAACTAAATTAGATGAAACCAGGTTTATCACAAGTTGTCTCCCTTGAATTGGATGTTAAGGGAGCTCTCTACACCTATAAAGTATAACTGATTTTTGTTGCATGCATTTGTTTCTAATAATAGGCCCCATATCCGATAGAATAAGGTTCCAAAGTACTTCAATTTATTTTTTAGAAATATTTGAAATATTTTATTTATTTTGTTAAAATCCCTCCTATCTATATTTTTAAAAGCCCAGTGCTTTAAATTTCTCTTCAAAGTTTAGCGTTATAAAATATTGAAATAATAACCAACAAAGATAAAAATAAAATCAACATAATTTTTATTTAAATTTACAAAAATAGACAAAAGAAAAACTAAAACAGCATTTTCTTGAGAATAGCTGGTTGGATCCTCTTCAATATCTGAAAAGATAAATAATATCAAAGGGTAAAAACAACGAAAAAAAGAAATTGAAAAAAATTGATAAACTGTCAAAAATTTATAAACATCACAAAAATTCCGGTGTGAGAGATCCGCTTTAAGAGTGGACTCAAATATCTTGGTACTGTTTTTTTTTTATATAAATACACTTCAAATAAACTCTACTTGCACAAGTATTAAACAAATGTCACGCAAGGACATTGAAAGAAGTTCGTATTGTACATGTATTGTTTTTCAATGAGTTTAAGCGAAAATCATCGCGTTTCCAGTCAATGACAAAGACATGTATTTAGTGAATTCATGGTATTGAGAAAGGTAGATTTACTTACCGTTTTTATCCAACTTGCATGTGTTATCCAGTGCTATATATATAACAAAACAAATGGCCAAAAGCGGTAAAAGAAATTCCTATAACCAAATGCACACTTCGTCTAAAACCTGCATGTTTCCCATACTTGTAAACAGCTGACAATCAATGGTGATCAAACGTTTGGGTCATGCGAAATTTCACCGGGTATAACCATTCATTCGGGTGTATACAAATCGAGAACCGAGTATCCTCTAGTCGATGGGAAGATAATACATATGTCTTATCTTATCAAATTTGCATTTTTGGGGGGATATATTTTGCTGAAAAGCATATATGCTTATTGGAGAAATAAATTTCTGAGTGTATGGCGTTTTGACACGCAATGATGAATTAGCATATGGACAAGCCATGTTTTATATAATTTTTTTTCTCATCTAAAAATCTTATTCTAATAAGTTTGTGAATGTATTATTTAATAATTAAATAAGTAGAAATTGAATAAATTGTCAAACAATTCATTTTTAAAGAAAGGATACGTATTGGGCAATACACTGTATTAATTCATGTGATATAATGTACATTCCATCCACAATATCGCATGTTGTGTTATACTCAGTGATTTATCGGTGTTAAGTGAATTTGAATCTGATCATTTGGGATCAAAATGGCATTTTTACGGAAGTACGCCATGTTGTGACGTTGTAGAGAGCCCCCTTAATACATGTTCTTCTTTTAATTGCTTAATCACATTATTATTTAGCGATCTTAAGTCAAGTTTTTTTTTAATCATTTGTGCATCACTTGGAAAAACCTGTACTTTTATTAAAATGTCTTACTTCTGTTTCTAGCTTGACGTTGTCGACGTGAGATTTATTCCTCTTCTCTTTACTGGAACTCTTCCTCACCGTCCTCCGCCCCTCAATCTCAATACTGGGGTACTCCTTCTCATAGTCCTTACTGATTCTGTCAGGGCGAGGGGTCGGGCTCACAGTCTGTGAAAAAAGGAAAGATAACAAAATTATTTACATGGAGAAATATGCATCATGCAATCTTTCAAATTCATATTGGCATGCAAAAGAAAAATTACTGTGCATTTAGTTCACTCTTTGGCATATCTTATCTTGACTTATGTTTTGAATTGCTCTGTGAAACAGTGTGAAAGAACACAGTGGGAATTTTTTAAGTTAATGTTATGGATTTTAAATTAAAGCAACTTCATGCTAAGACTAGAAAATCTTATAAATCTATGAATAATCTTTCAAAACAATTATGATTAAGTTAACTTAAATGAAAGTAGTATTTGAATAGTATATAGTAATTTAAAATTTATCAGAATTAGTATTTCGTATAAAAAAAAATTAAAACTTCTTTTAATTGAATGAAAAGGATATGGAAATTAGATGGGTTTACACAAATATCAGCTATGAAAATACTCTTTTAAAAAATGATTTATGATGAAAGGAATCCAGGGTTAAACATTGGTGAAACAACTCAATCTGGATTAAAAACTCACCTCCTCTCTCACTTCTGTCATCTGCAATTAGGAATAAAACAAAAACACAAGGTTAAAGGTCACACAATGTTAAACAGGTTAAATTCACAACACAAACTGACCAAATCTCTGGAAAGATCAAATCCATATAATACAGATATGTTGTTTTATAAAAGGTTCAGATTTTTTACCTGAGAAAAGACAATTGTTTCTGACTTGAATTTTCTTCCCTAGTACCATTTTTATCCAAACACAGGAACAATTATTAACTCTGTTTTAAATTTGCCTTAATCTTCCTTTTTTTTCTTAACCATTGTCTGGCATTTCATGAATTAGCTTGCATATGAAAAAAGATGGGGATGACTTTCAAAAAAAAATTAAATGTTATGTACCAAAAATTTCCATGTACACAGAATTCAATCCAGAAAATCAGTACAATAATAGTAGTGGCTATTAATGTTAGTTGAAAAATCAAATCTATTGCAAAAAATATGCTTTTTAAACTAAACTTAATCAGCACTTAAAATCTCATATGTACAACTTATTAACAAAACAGCAATAAAATTACAAACTAAAGTACAACGCAAATGGACAACATAAATAAATGGAACACTGGTCCTGTTGTTAGATAGGGTACCTTGCTAAGCCCTGTATCATCCCAGGGCTCCCCGCCGCCCTGCTGGTTAGCTTCCACCTCTTTCTGTTGCTGCTTGATGTCCAATTTGACCTCATTCTTTTTGCTGGGGCCCCAAGCTTCTTTACTTGTGGTTGCTTTTTCTGCACTTGGTGCTTCCTCTTTGTCTTTCTGAAAACCCCAGGAATAAAAACATTTTCAAACTTTATTTCTATTAACAAACTGTTGGAATTAAGAGATCTACAAAAAGACTGATGGATAAAATGAATAAGCGATTACGAACCCCTTTCTCCTCTTCCATGGCTTTCTTGCGAGCCTTTGCTAGGATTTTCGAGGTACCTGGAGGATGGGCCTTTTCTTTGGATTGCTTCTCTTTAAGAATCACCATGGAGGCAGTCAAGGGTTGTGTAAAGGGGCTCTGTAAGTTTGTGTCCTCTTCTCTCACTGCAAAGTAAAACCAAGAATGACAGTAAAATGTAATCTGTTTTCTCCAAGTGGACATGGTATGACACCTAAGCAAGAAATGATTTTACAGCTTTCTCCATATCATACCATATGCATATACAATCAAATTACTTCACTGATTAAAAGTGACTTATAGTGAAGTGCAAATTATTTTTAAACTTTGAAGTTTAAACATATAAACTTATCAGATAAATCTATGACAATTCAAAAACGCTATCCCTAGTGTGTTTCATTGATCAGTTGGTCAATTTTTTTTTACACTTTTTTCTTGGGTTCATTGAACATATCTTCCTACCATTGACACCATCTGCTACAAAAGGGTGATGTAGAAGATCAGGCCAGGCCAGTCGAGATCGTGGATTCTTTGTCAGCAGACCCTGAAGAAAGTCCTTGAACACTGAACTCATGTTCTTGGGCCACTTGACCGGGTCCTTGATGATCAGACTGACCAGCTGGAAGATACTGTTGGTGTAGAAGGGAGGGGTGCCAGTGAACAGTTCATACAGAATACAGCCAAGGGCCCTAAAAAAGAAAACGCATGAATCATTCTCTGTTAGTAAATGAAAAAACAGGACAAAATGTATTTGCTTTCTTTCTTTTCCTTTACCATAAATCTGCAGTGTGATCATATGGTTTCTCTTCAACTAGTTCTGGAGACATGTATAAAGGTGTACCCTATAAAACAAACATTTTACATTGTAATAGAAATCAAACATGGTGATGACTGAAGTAACAGAAAAAATTTACAAAAAAATAAATAAAGATATTTATATCTAAATATATTTTACCATGAAAAAAGAATCCTTTTTACATTTTCAGAATTATAAAGGTGTTTACCTTGATGGAGGTAAGTACCAGAGTGTTAAAACTCATGGCCCTTGCAAACCCGAAGTCACAGAGTTTGACGATGCCGGACTTCCCGAGTAGGATGTTCTGTGGTTTCATGTCTCTGTGGAGGATCCGATGGGAGTGGAGGTAGTACAGAGCAGACACCAGCTGACACGCGATCAGCTGGACCTGCTCCTCTGGCAGACTGCCGTCATCCTCCAGAATTTGGAATAATTCACCTTCTGCATAATCAGTCACCACAACAACCTAAATTTGAGGAAAAATATGACCAAAATTTAGACTCATGGTTCTTATTTTATAACTACAAATAATTCACATGTTATCTCTTTGAATTTCATGTTATCCTTTGTCAAATTATAATTGAACATGTACATTGATTAAACATATTTTATAAAATTGTTATATCAAAATGAAAGTTCAGCAGCTTTGAATTTTAAATGTACATAAAACCAGAAGTCTCTGTCGAGACTGAAGCTCTACTGGTTTGAACTTATAGCAAAGGAAAAGAAAAGTACTTAAGCAGCTGGGATTTGAAATTTTACAACAGCAATAAATAGAATAATGATCGTTGATAAAGTCTCTTTATGTTCATAGTATAGTCTACTTGTTTGCCAAGTTATATTGAAATCAGACCAAAACTGTAGGAGGAGTAGCATTTTGATACAATTTTACAGTCATTTCTATTTTTAGTAACCACGGCAACACCGTTCATCAAAATTAAAATTAAAATTCAATACACAGAATTATGTATCTTAGTGTAGTCTACTTGTGTGCCAAGTTATACTGAAATCAGACCAAAACTGTAGGAGGAGTAGCATTTTGAAAGAATTTCACAAAAATTTCAATTTTTAGTAACCACGGCAACACCGTTCATCGAAATCAAAAACCGATACACAGAATTATGCATCTTAGTGTATTCTACTTGTGTGCCAAGTTATACTGAAATCAGACCAAAACTGTAGGAGGAGTAGCATTTTGAAACAATTTTACAGATATTTCTATTTTTAGTAACCACGGCAACACTGTTCATCGAAATCATAAACTGATACACAGATTTATGTATCTTAGTGTAGTCTACTTGTGTGCCAAGTTATACTGAAATCAGACCAAAACTGTAGGAGGAGTAGCATTTTGAAACAATTTCACAGAAATTTCTATTTTTAGTAACCACGGCAACACCGTTCATCGAAATCAAAAACCGATACACAGAATTATGTATCTTAGTGTAGTCTACTTGAGTGCCAAGCTATACTGAAATCAGACCAAAACTGTAGGAGGAGTAGCATTTTGAAACAATTTTACAGATACTTCTATTTTTAGTAACCACGGCAACACCGTTCATCGAAATCAAAAACCGATACATAGAATTATGTTTCTTAGTGTAGTCTACTTGAGTGCCAAGCTATACTGAAATCAGACCAAAACTGAAGGAGGAGTAGCATTTTGAAACAATTTTACAGATATTTATATTTTTAGTAACCACGGCAACACCGTTCATCGAAATCAAAAACCGATACACAGAATTATGTATCTTAGTGTAGTCTACTTGAGTGCCAAGCTATACTGAAATCAGACCAAAACTGTAGGAGGAGTAGCATTTTGAAACAATTTTACAGATACTTCTATTTTTAGTAACCACGGCAACACCGTTCATCGAAATCAAAAACCGATACATAGAATTATGTTTCTTAGTGTAGTCTACTTGAGTGCCAAGCTATACTGAAATCAGACCAAAACTGAAGGAGGAGTAGCATTTTGAAACAATTTTACAGATACTTCTATTTTTAGTAACCACGGCAACACCGTTCATCGAAATCAAAAACCGATACACAGAATTATGTATCTTAGTGTAGTCTACTTGTGTGCCAAGTTATACTGAAATCAGACCAAAACTGTAGGAGGAGTAGCATTTTGAAAGAATTTCACAGAAATTTCTATTTTTAGTAACCACGGCAACACCGTTCATCGAAATCAAAAACCGATACACAGAATTATGTATCTTAGTGTAGTCTACTTGTGTGCTAAGTTATACTGAAATCAGACCAAAACTGTAGGAGGAGTAGCATTTTGAAAGAATTTTACAGATATTTCTATTTTTAGTAACCACGGCAACACCGTTCATCGAAATCAAAAACCGATACACAGAATAATGTATCTTAATGTAGTCTACTTGTGTGCCAAGTTATACTGAAATCAGACCAAAACTGTAGGAGGAGTAGCATTTTGAAACAATTTTACAGATATTTCTATTTTTAGTAACCACGGCAACACCGTTTATCGAAATCAAAAACCGATACACAGAATTATGTATCTTAGTGTAGTCTACTTGAGTGCCAAGATATACTGAAATCAGACCAAAACTGAAGGAGGAGTAGCAATTTGAAACAATTTTACAGATATTTCTATTTTTAGTAACCACGGCAACACCGTTCATCGAAATCAAAAACCGATACACAGAATTATGTATCTTAGTGTAGTCTACTTGTGTGCCAAGTTATACTGAAATCAGACCAAAACTGCAGGAGGAGTAGCATTTTGAAAGAATTTCACAGATATTTCTATTTTTAGTAACCACAGCAACACCGTTCATCGAAATCAAAAACCGATACACAGAATTATGTATCTTAGTGTAGTCTACTTGTGTGCCAAGTTATACTGAAATCAGACCAAAACTGTAGGAGGAGAAGCATTTTGAAACAATTTTACAGATATTTCTATTTTTAGTAACCACGGCAACACCATTCATCGAAATCAAAAACCGATACACAGAATTATGTATCTTAGTGTAGTCTACTTGTGTGCCAAGTAATACTGAAATCAGACCAAAACTGTAGGAGGAGTAGCATTTTGAAAGAATTTCACAGAAATTTCAATTTTTAGTAACCACGGCAACACCGTTCATCGAAATCAAAAACCGATACACAGAATTATGTATCTTAGTGTAGTCTACTTGAGTGCCAAGCTATACTGAAATCAGACCAAAACTGTAGGAGGAGTAGCATTTTGAAACAATTTTACAGATACTTCTATTTTTAGTAACCACGGCAACACCGTTCATCGAAATCAAAAACCGATACATAGAATTATGTTTCTTAGTGTAGTCTACTTGAGTGCCAAGCTATACTGAAATCAGACCAAAACTGAAGGAGGAGTAGCATTTTGAAACAATTTTACAGATATTTATATTTTTAGTAACCACGGCAACACCGTTCATCGAAATCAAAAACCGATACACAGAATTATGTATCTTAGTGTAGTCTACTTGAGTGCCAAGCTATACTGAAATCAGACCAAAACTGTAGGAGGAGTAGCATTTTGAAACAATTTTACAGATACTTCTATTTTTAGTAACCACGGCAACACCGTTCATCGAAATCAAAAACCGATACATAGAATTATGTTTCTTAGTGTAGTCTACTTGAGTGCCAAGCTATACTGAAATCAGACCAAAACTGTAGGAGGAGTAGCATTTTGAAAGAATTTCACAGAAATTTCTATTTTTAGTAACCACGGCAACACCGTTCATCGAAATCAAAAACCGATACACAGAATTATGTATCTTAGTGTAGTCTACTTGTGTGCCAAGTTATACTGAAATCAGACCAAAACTGTAGGAGGAGTAGCATTTTGAAAGAATTTTACAGATATTTCTATTTTTAGTAACCACGGCAACACCATTCATCGAAATCAAAAACCGATATACAGAATTATGTATCTTAGTGTAGTCTACTTGTGTGCTAAGTTATACTGAAATCAGACCAAAACTGTAGGAGGAGTAGCATTTTGAAAGAATTTTACAGATATTTCTATTTTTAGTAACCACGGCAACACCGTTCATCGAAATCAAAAACCGATACACAGAATAATGTATCTTAATGTAGTCTACTTGAGTGCCAAGTTATACTGAAATCAGACCAAAACTGTAGGAGGAGTAGCATTTTGAAACAATTTTACAGATATTTCTATTTTTAGTAACCACGGCAACACCGTTTATCGAAATCAAAAACCGATACACAGAATTATGTATCTTAGTGTAGTCTACTTGAGTGCCAAGATATACTGAAATCAGACCAAAACTGAAGGAGGAGTAGCATTTTGAAACAATTTTACAGATATTTCTATTTTTAGTAACCACGGCAACACCGTTCATCGAAATCAAAAACCGATACACAGAATTATGTATCTTAGTGTAGTCTACTTGTGTGCCAAGTTATACTGAAATCAGACCAAAACTGCAGGAGGAGTAGCATTTTGAAAGAATTTTACAGATATTTCTATTTTTAGTAACCACGGCAACACCGTTCATCGAAATCAAAAACCGATACACAGAATTATGTATCTTAGTGTAGTCTACTTGAGTGCCAAGCTATACTGAAATCAGACCAAAACTGTAGGAGGAGTAGCATTTTGAAACAATTTTACAGATACTTCTATTTTTAGTAACCACGGCAACACCGTTCATCGAAATCAAAAACCGATACATAGAATTATGTTTCTTAGTGTAGTCTACTTGAGTGCCAAGTTACACTGAAATCAGACCAAAACTGTAGGAGGAGTAGCATTTTGAAAGAATTTCACAGAAATTTTATTTTTTTTAAACACGGCAACACCGTTCATCGAAATCAAAAACCAATACACAGAATTATGTATCTTAGTGTAGTCTACTTGTGTGCCAAGTTATACTGAAATCAGACCAAAACTGTAGGAGGAGTAGCATTTTGAAAGAATTTTACAGATATTTCTATTTTTAGTAACCACGGCAATACCGTTCATCGAAAGCAAAAACCGATACACAGAATTATGTGTCTTAGTGAAGTCTACTTGTGTGCCAAGTTATACTGAAATCAGACCAAACTGTAGGAGGAGTAGCATTTTGAAAGAATTTCACAGAAATTTCTATTTTTAGTAACCACGGCAACACCGTTCATCGAAATCAAAAACCGATACACAGAGTTATGTATCTTAGTGTAGTCTACTTGTGTGCCAAGTTATACTGAAATTAAACCAAAACTGTAGGAGGAGTAGCATTTTGAAAAATTGTTTACAGACAGACGGACAGACGGACAGACAGACAGACAGACGGACAGACGGACGGACGCCGGACGCATTACTATCGCATAAGCTCTTCTGGTCTCTGACCAGTAGAGCTAAAAATTACCCTGCAATCATAAATTTCACAAATATGAACAGTGGACAGACCCAGCTGGATCATTAGGGGTGTGGGGGGTGTAAATGATATTTAATGAAAAATATATACTTATATGGGAGAATGAAATCTTTGCAAACATACAGTGTCTAATGACTATTCATTGACAAAAATTAATTTCTTGCTGATAAAATGCGATATTTGGTAGAAAAAACATTAGACTTATGAGGTTTAGTTTCATTCTCAATATAAAGCCATATTCAGATCTTCATATTTATACCTCTTTCCCAGTTTCAAAACTATCCAACATTTCAATAATGTTGTCATGGTGCAAATTCCTCATAATGTCTATTTCCCGTCTAAGATTTCTTAGTTCTTTTTCTGGTTTCCCAACTTTTGGAATAAACTTCAATGCCACAACCTGTAGAAACAAATCATGAAAAGTGTTAGCAAACACCGGTAGATAATAACTAAGTTACAAGAAATTTTATAATCAATTCCAGCCTGCTTGGCATGGAATAATATATTTTGCATTGATTAATCTCCCTTACCTGTGAAGAATACTTTTTACGCCCCCTGTATACCTTTCCAAAGGACCCTTCACCAATGATTTCTAATACATGATAATTCTCCATAATTCTGCAATGAAATTTTAAATAATCACAGTGAAAGGAAAGAAATTTTATTCACAAAAATATTTTTAATGTATTTAAAATAAAATCTATTGAAAATAACTTATTGTGTTAATATTCGCTATATTCACAGTGTTAATTAATCCCTGAATTTAAGATGCAGTGAATGAGTTTTCAATAATCTCCATGTTTTATTTGGAAATTTGAGAATAGACTTCCATAGGTTTATATACATGTACGTGCAGTACATGGTCATTTCAGTAATTACTAGTAGTACTTGTCATTCAATTATTTTAATAATCATATGCTTTACTTTAATTCAGATAATAACCTTTATTATATTACTGAATATTTTCCATCTCTTTGATTGGTTGAGATCCAACTATGTTAGAAAAATATTACATTGTATTGACCTGCATGTGAGTGATGTGACGTTCCAGGTCAATACAAGGATTTATTTCCTCTACATTGGTCTAAAAATAGATTGGGAAATTCCAAATTGATACAAATTGTTTTGGAAAGTTATGACTTTTTTTCACGTAAACAAAACATAAGCGAATATATATTTTCGGGTGAGGGTGGTAAGAAGGGATGCAGGTACCCCCTCCAATACTTTTTCTGAACGATAATATTTAAGTTTGGTAGACAATTTTCCCTGATAAAACTTATTCATATCAAATCTTTCCTATAAAAAAGACTGACTTTATATAATTTCATGGCAACTGAAATTGATAAAAATTATTTTAAATTGATACGAGTGGTAACTTAAAGGTTTATTTACATTTTAATTCTGTTTCTCTCTTGTATTTGGCTAAAACTAAATGCAAACAAGTAATGAGCTGTATCATTTTATCAGTGAATCATATAATAAAACAATTATTGCTGTTTTTGAGGTCAATACAATAACTTAGCCATCTTTGAAATACAATATTCACCTCGACCTTCGGGCTCGGTGAATATTGTACTCCTCAGATGGCTAAATTGTTGTATTGACCTCATAAACAGCAATAATTGTATAGTATATGTTAAAAAGCTGTTTTAATAGCCAACTCTAGATGTTTCATCAATCAAAACATGTGGGCCTAAGGTTTTGATTACCCGTGTGTAACTTATGTTACGACTTGTATTTGTTACCTGCATTATCATGCAAGTAAGTTTTTATCGACATTTTTGGTTTTAAAAAATCATTCAAATAACTTTCAAACTTACTGAAGATGTGTAAGGATATTATTTCATCCACCTACATTAACACATTTATTACCATCCAGTGGTTTTTACATGCATAACTGCACTTGTTTTAATTAATCATCAATTATTAATTAAATCTAACAATTTTATATATAAACTACACTGTTGTTCATGAAATAAAGACATAATGCTGGTTTATGTCGTTTACATGTAGCTATGGTAAGGATTAAACATATACAGACAAGGGATGTAACCTTCATTATATAACAATTCAGCGAATTCGGCAAATTGTGTCAGATGAGAGAAAAACGTGAAAATTACAACATGTGAAATTAATCCCCTATACAGTAAACAATTTTTAAAATTCTTATTTTATCTCTTGTGTGGAACTCTCCTTATTATGTATACCAAAGACTTTAAATTTTCTGAAGACTTATAGACATAATTTAACTTACATGTATTGCCAAATTATGATTTTGGGTTGACAATGACATGATGTCATAGATTGGACTGTGTGCATTCAACATTTTATCTTCCAATGAAATGTGCATTATATAGCAGATCTACATTTAATTGGTTGTTTGCAGAGAATATCTATATTGTGTGATATTATATCTGTATTATGATTCAATAATGTTGTGAATATGTTTGATTGTACATTGCATTACTGAATCTGAATCTCCATTTGGGAGGAAACAAGAAAGAATATATCATAGCGAGCACAGTGTAACTGCGAGCTCTAACGACAATGCCTGGGCGAAGAGAAAATTCGGACTACTGCATTCATTCCATAGAATTTTTTTCCGCAGTTATTTTGACCCACAATGCATCGCTTCGTATACAAACGCTAAAGACATGTTCTCACGAGAATAACGAAAAAAGTTAAAAGAAAAATAAACTTGCCTTGATTTAATGAATTTGTTGCAGAAAAATAGTCAATAAACGGTTCTTCGTTTAAAATCAGCCCTGTTCAGGCTTCGGTTTGATAATCTAACATGCAAACGACGTCATATGGCGTCAGATTCTTAGACGCGCCAAATGTCACCTGCGGTTTGATGAGCCCAATCTAAATGAAAACTGAATAAGTATCTGAGCTACACTCGCCCTAACGGTCTCACCGTCAATATATTACAATTTAAGTTTTTGAAACTTTGAGAATCCCTGTAAAATTGATTTCAGTTCAGATCAATGTATCTCATATTGATGACATCATCTTGTTGATGCTGACAAGCCAAAAGATGGTTTTTTTTGGTTTGTTTGTTTGTTTTTTTGATTAAAAAAATATGAAAATGAAGAACTATGTATGGTCTGGTAGTCTAGGGCATTTAGTCTTTATTTTTTTTATTTTAACGAATATTATCAAACATAGAGGCAAAAAACTCTTAAGAATCAGGGACAGAAGTGCTACCGACATAAGAACCCTGGTATAGACCCTTTTCCTATGACATATTTTGTCTAGGAGTAAGTTATTCCCCTTAGCAGCCATATTGTAGGGCAACATTCTCCGATCCCTTCATTATTCAACCAAGTTCAATTTGCTATGGTTACTGAGGTAAAGATAATGCTATTTCTTATGAATATACGTTTGTTAAATCCTCTATTTAGTCATGATTATAAGATTGTGAATTTTTCCCCCATATATTTCTTGCATGCATGTTTAAAATTGGTTGCTCAAAGAGGTAAATTCACTACTTTGCCCTACAAGATGGCGGCTAAGGGGAATAACTCCTAGGCAAAATACGTCACAGGAAAAGGGTCCATTGATGCACTGATCTGCTGATAGAATAATCTTGATGTGTTTGAACAAGCATCAAACGGTATGGATATCGATGCAAATCAAATCATGTTATGAATAAATATCATTTACCAATTCTGAAATTGTGATTCCTCTTCAATTAAACATACAAATACTTTTTCTACATCACAGCATCCTTAAAATTTTTGCTTTGTTTACGTATGTTACCGATTTTATAGTCGCCGCCATTAAGCAGAAGTGCGCATGCCTCAAATTCTGTGAAAAGCATTTTCAGAATCTTGCTCCCGAGGAAAATTAAAGTGTGAGATGCTTTGGATCTCCATGTGTCATTACCATGATTACCGATCCTCATTTTTTTTAAATTATAGATATCTTCCATAAACAATTTGAAAATTGAATACATCCGGATTAATAAACAGATAACATAAAGTTGTGTATATTTTAAATTGTCGGGATTGATGTACGTGAAATTCATTTGATGTCAACAATGGCTGAGGCTTTTCCAACACGTGCTGAACCAGCAGATTTACAACCATCTAGCGCTGATCTGAAACAAAAACATTCCAAGAAGCCGACATGTATTTTAGTATTGGGAATGGCAGGTTCAGGCAAAACAACTTTTGTTCAGGTAAAGTAACTGTTATCTGTAAATCATGCCCATGGAACAAGTCACTACATTGTATATTTTTAAATGTCTTAATGCAATAAATGTTTCTTGTTTAACTTTTAATCAAAGGACTCCTCGTAAAATAATTGGAGGAATTGCGTTTTATTGTCTTTATCCCCATTGTTAAATGATGCTAATTGTTTCTACAAGCGTTAAATGAAAGGTTCTTAATGACATTGGACATCTTTCATTTTGACATATTTACTTTTATTCCTTCAGAGAATTACAGCCCATCTCCATGCTAGAAAAACGCCTCCATATGTCATCAACTTAGATCCAGCTGTACATGAAGTGCCTTATCCAGCAAACATTGGTAAATTTAATTCCGATGGTATAATTTAAATTATAATTGATGATTATATATAGTCTAATATGTGTATCAAATTCTCATTACATGTATGACATTTTTTGTTGCAATGGAAAAGGGTGTAAAGATTCAGTTAGGGTAGTTATTGTATAATACATTTGTTTTATTTCAGATATTAGAGACACAGTTAATTACAAAGAAGTTATGAAGCAGTATCCTTTCAGGAATAAAAAAAAAATCTAGAATACAGTGCAATGTACAGTAGTACATAGTGAAATAGGATTTCTTTTTTAATGTTACAGTAAAAAATCTTTTTTTAAATTTTTTTTTTGTACTTCAGATTTTTTATACATATGAGAATAAAATCATTATGAATCTTAATTACAAAAAAAGATATTCATTAGGTCCAAATGGTGGGATTGTCACTTCTCTCAATCTATTTGCCACCAGATTTGATCAGGTAGTCTATATTTACATGTTGTTTATGTTTCAAAATCAAGGGATTTTTTAAATAATTTTTTAACCTGGTTTCAAGTCATATATAACTTGCTAATTTTAAATGATTAAAATTAAGAAAAAATTATGAATGTAAGTTTTAGCTGTAAAAGCATAAACGAATCATTTTCACAATAATTATTCATTTAGAATGAGTGTTAAAAATGGATTGATACATTTTTCCACGAGGAATTAAAATCAATAGAACAAGCAGTTTTGTGGAATGCATGTTTGGTTTGGATATACAATCCAAATCAGATCAAGTTACAAGTACTTCTGATAGAAGTTAATCATTCAGTATAATTTTGCCCCATATATATGAAATATCTATAAACCAGGTAGACATTAAGTAAATTCAAAGTATGTATATGCTTGTAGGTTATCTAATATCTATGTTCCTAAAAATCCTCGTTTAAAAATGACAAAGAGAAAAGTTTAATACTTGTTAAAAATATTGCAATCAATCATTTAATCATCAGAATAACAAATTCTTTTAATTCATTTCAGGTCATGCAGTTTATTGAACAGAAAACTGGAGAGACAGAGTAAATAAAATTTTTAAAAAAATCAATTTAATACATACAAATAATTTTCAATATTCAGTGCTATATTTTTACTTTTTTTTTACTATTATTTTTTATTTTTATCGCTTCTCGACCTTTTGGCTAAGATCAAAGTGTAGTATCTGTTCTTATCATCAGCTTACTATTTACAATTAAATAAATAAACATTAGAAAGGCTAAAGATGTCTTATTTTGTAGATATGTAATTCTGGACACACCAGGACAAATAGAAGTGTTTACTTGGTCAGCGTCAGGAACTATAATCACAGAGACATTAGTAAGTCTATTTATCTCATTGATTTTAATAAATTTATACATATTCTACCTTTTTCATCATGTGTTATAATTACATTTCATTATTATCCAACAAAATCAAAGCAAAGTGATTTTTTTTTTTACTGAATATTCCTCAATTTGTATATAGCATTTTCTTTTCAAAAACTATTTCAGGCCTCAACTTTTCCCACCATTGTGGTGTATGTGATGGACACATCTCGCAGTATTAACCCAGTAACTTTTATGTCTAATATGTTGTATGCCTGCAGTATCATGTACAAAGCCAAGTTACCTTTCATTGTAGCTATGAACAAGGTAAAATTTTCACTGCATTTTCAATACATTTACAAAATAATACTGTAAAAAATCTAATTATTGATTTAAGTCCGTCAAAAACACTATGATTTCATAATTTTTTATTGTATATATATTATAACAGATTTTTATTTTATGAGTTTGTACCCTGTTTGAATTTGCACATTGTCTCAAGCCACGGTCTGGAGTCTGCATATAGCTCTCTCCTACCCATGTCTGTTCAATCACAGAAAGTTTCTTAATCTTTGAATATTTGTTGTATTTATTGTTTTGCTTACATTTTAGATTATTTTACTGCTTTTTTACAGAATTTATTTGGTGCCCTTATATATTTTAGATTGATATTGTAAGTAACCAGTTTGCTGTTGAGTGGATGACAGACTTTGAAATTTTCCAAGAAGCGTTAGAACATGAGACCTCCTATGTATCAAACCTTACTAGGTCCATGAGTCTTGTTCTAGATGAATTCTACGCAGGACTTAAGGTAAATAAAATCTTGTAGAAACACTTATGAATGCTAGATTTTTACTCAGAGTAAATGTGACATTTCTTTAGTCCATGTCTGTCTGTGACTCAAGGTTTTTCTTGGGGGGGGGGGTTAAAAAGTAAACCCTGGTACATGGAACAGAGCCTAGATTTCTTATATTATTTTCAAAGATTAGAGAAAATGTTAATGAAAAATTTGCTTAAAGTAATTCATTGAAGACTACTTCAAAATCTTGTCTTTATGTTTATATCCCTACAGAATGTGGGTGTGTCAGCCATGACAGGAGAAGGTATCCCAGAATTCTTCAAACTTGTTCAAGATGGTGTTGTAGAGTATGAGAAGTAAGCAGTCTGATCTTTGATATTGTTTTCCCCTCTGTACATTGTCCTGGATTCTTTCCTTACACACTGAGAGTCATTTTTTCAATTACAGAGACTATCGAGCAGAGTATGAAAAGCTAAAAGCAGAGAAAGAACTAAAGGAAAAGGACAGACAGACAGACCAAATGTCAAGGTTACAGAATGACATGAACAGTGGAGGTCAAGGTGACATTGAAGGTAAGGATAAGTTATTGATATTTATAGCTGCAGATCTGTAGCTAAAATGTGCAATTTACGGCGCAATATTTTTTGCGCTTTTTTGTGGAGAATTTCACCACTTTCTAGCATTGGTCAATCAACTACCTTTCAATCCCTAATTCTAGACACATTTTGTAGCCAATTTGTATATTTTATCCACCTTCCAACCATTTATAGTTGTCTCTACAGGCAATAAACTCGCCTGAAGTGAATTTTCAGAAATCTAACAAATAATTTAAATCAAGCGAGTTTATCATTTGTAGAGACGACTATAACGGGTTGGGAGATGGATGAAATATACAGATTATTTAATAATGTGCCTAGAATTAGGGAGTGAAAGTTTCTTAATTGACCAATGCTGGAAAGTTGAGAAATTCTCCCAAAAGTGCGCAAAAAATATTGCGCCGTAAATTGCACCTTTTTTGCATATCGGGATCTGTAGCGTTATGGTCAAAGATATAAAACCATAATGCTACAGATCTGCAGCTAGGATATTTACTGAAGAATTTGTGTTTTTAGTGAGTATAAGTTACTGCTTTTCTATGGATATACAATTAGATGTATCCCATCCTTGTATAACATGTACAGTGTGTACATGCCTCCAAAAACAAAAAAAAGTTTGTTCAGTTTCTGAGTAAAATGGAGAAGTGACTGCACTATTTTAAGTTTCCCATAATTATTTCTGCAAAATTTTTTTTTTGAGTTACTGGAGCCCGTTTTACAAAAGGACTTACTACCTAAGACCAAATTTAATTCTTCAAATTAATTTTTAATCGACATTATATCGAAAATTATTTTAAACTTTTTAAGAAGAATGTGGTAAGATATTTTTACACAGACAATTTCAAAGAGAACTATTAATTCTGCAAAATTTTACAATGATCTGAAGTTTTTGGTCTTAGTCGTAAGTTCTTTTGTAAAACGGGCTCCAGGTTCTCTGACAATCAATATTTTCAAAAAGAATTTGTTAGGATATGAACACAAATAGGATGCATTTTTTGCCATTTATAAAACAAATTCATTTATTAACATCCTTTTGATCAGTGGATAAGAGACTGCGAGGGATGGTCATCACTCCTGGCCAGGAGGGAAGTGATAGTGATGAGGAATTCAGGACCGCACCTGAGGAGGGTAAGTACTGAGGTCACAGAAAGGTCATTGTAGCCACAGAGCTGTAGCTCTCAGGAATTAGATAAATTTTGGACAGAAAAAGCAGAGAGCTACAGATCCAAGCACTGTAAAAAACCTTGAGTTCATGTTGCATCTTATTTTATTGCTTGTGTACTATTTCTTGTATTATATGAGTAAAACATTTGATTAATTAATGATGAAGGAATGCATGCATATAATAGAAGAATAAGTACCCGAAAGGAAGCAGTAAACGGCAAAAAAAGTGGCACCATATCAAAGGTTTTCCTAAAGAGATTTTCTGTTCACAACCAAAAGAAGTTGATATTTGGTCCGCGGTAAAGAAATTCTCCTGATAATGCATGAAGAAAATGTGGCCATAATATAAATTTCCAGTATAATAATACATGTATGTAGAATATCAATATTTCTAGCACAGAAGATGCAGACTATTTCTTACCTTTTTGTGATATTTTTTTATAACGCATATTTTATGACTAACAGATGAGGAGGAACAAAGAGAATACGAATCATTTAAAAACTTTCTCAAACAACAGAAAGACAGACAACAACAAAAATACGAGGCCAGTCAAGGGGACAAAACATGAAAACGAAATGTTGTCAGGGATACTTCTTTGTCATGCTTCTATCTCTTCATTTCTTTATTTGTATGAATATTATTGTAAACCAGTTCATCATGTTTGGAAAAAAATCACTATGAAGGAAGAAGTGAAAATGCATAACTACTGATGCACATGGACTGTCTGAAAATGTATAGTACATAAAAAACATGAAATACTTTTCATTTTTACCAAAGTACAGCCGTTATGTCACGTTGATGTACATTATAAATCATTGCATAAAAATTTGGTTCAAAAAAGTACATTGTCATGAACAGGAAAAGGTGAAAAAACACTTCCTGAAGTTTCAAATTATTTACAATTACCATATAGATGTAGATTTATGATTCAATGCAACATTAAATTTTGAGGAAGTTATGAGTTTTATTTTTGTTAATTTACTAGAGATACAATTCTTCAATATCCATTACTATTCAAGGTGTTTGTTTTGTTGGTAGTGAAAAAAAAAGATCTAAAATTTACTATATACATGTAATTTTACCTTATCCCCCGCACCCCAGTAAATGAAACAAAAAAATCTTTTCTATATATGTCCTTTATGGTGTAACCAACTAAAGGGAGTCATGCAGGAATATTATCGCAGTTATATTTGGCTACATGTAATGTGTGTATTGACCTGGACAGGTATATGTGTAGAACACAACCTGTAAAAAAACATGGTGCAATTTTGGGGCTACAGTTTTCCCCTTTATTGTTACATGTGTAATATTTAGCTCATATTTAGCACACTTTTGGCAGGGCTAAAAGTGGGGCAATAATAAGTGATAAAAATTATGAAGTACATGGGAGAATCATACATTCTGTTTGTGTAGGAAAATTATTCTGCAGAAAATCAGACATTGATATGCAAGCTTTCAATCTTGCAAGGAAAGTTAGAAATGATTTTTCTAGTTTAGGTGCAGTTTACTTGAAAAAAAAAAAAGATTGTTTCAATACAGAATCTGTAGATAAATTGAAGAGGAAAGTGGTAGAATACACCGTTCCACTGCTTTTTCTCTGCAAAAAAAAAAATTTAAATCGACTGTAATTCTAAGGTGCATAGAGTGGGGAGTAGTGGTTCTCCATGTAATTTGGTCTGGAATTGGATATTTTGTGTTATTACCACATTCCTTAATTATTACAAAAAGAAGTGTCTTTGTGTGTTGTGTAATTTTTGACTGTCCAAGTCATGAGTCCTAGGATAAGTACATGTATATACTAATTTAAAAATTTATAACAAATAATATGAAATTTTATAATTTTATTTAATCGCTGAATTACCATTTTATAAAAGTATCATATTTCTGTATATGATATAACTTTAAAAAAAAAAAAAAAAGGTATTTCAGCAATTGTGTGTTTTTATCTTAATGGGTGTATTTAGAAACACGTAGAAAAAAACATAATACACAATGTATATACACCATCATTTTACAACTTGGCCCAAAATAGTGGTAGACGCATTGGCGTCGGAAGCAAATTGAAAGTCGGGGGGGGGGGGGGCCAAAATGGTAAGTCTACGGATTTTTTTTTAGACCTTCAAATAAACTTGACAAGCAAACGACAAAGAAAGGAAATGTTTCTTGTCCAAATACAAAAATCCTATTTCGGGGGGGAGGGGGGGGGGGGAATAGTTCGAACTTCAGTACAAAATTTTTTCCAAACACACCACTTTCCCCATTTTAAACCTATACGGCAACGTGTCTGTGGAAAGTGGGGGGGGAGCTAAACCTACACAACATTGTTCAATGTCTATACTAAGTCTATCTTTGGGGAAAAAATGGGGGGGGGCTAAGCCCCCACCCGATTCCGACGCCTATGAGACGGATAACAATGGATAAACCATGAACTGAACAATTCCAATGCGTCTGTAACTGACTTTGTACATCTTTAAGAAAATGGCTAACGTTAGTCCGAAATATATGAGGTTTCTCTCAATTCTCTGCCTTTTTAAAGATTTGGATATTTTACGTGCCAGGAAGTATCAAAATCGTCAAAAAGCCTAGAAAACATCAAATATTTTGCACACGTTTATATTAATTAACTACCTCTGTAAACTGTGCATTATGTGTAGTATTAAAAGAAGGCGCATAGAATATAGCTTTTTGGGGGAGGGGATTAATCGTATCGTATATCGTAGGGTGGGATAGATAAATTTTGCAAGAAAAAATATATAACCAGTTTGAATTAATCACACTTCACTACAAAAGTTGGGCAGTGTAGCCCCCTCCCCTCTCGTGTCTAAAAATAATTAACAGAATTTAAATTTAGAAGTAAAGTAATGCTTAGTTTAAACATACATGTATCGTCGCTGTAATATCAAAATGGCGTAAGTCGATTTTTGGCGCGAAATTTTTATTGCTATTTTGGAATCTGCAATATCGAATACGTGTTCTGTCAAAATATCATGTCTCTAGGCCAATTAGAAAGTGAGATACAGACGTGTGATAAAAGCGCGTATGTCCATTGGATGCATTTTTTTTTCTGACAAAAGGTCGTATGTCTCTGGGCACTGACAAAGATGTCACTGGCCGTCTGATATCAAGGTAAAAATTATAATTTTAGTTAAATCTTTTATAATTTTTACTAAAAAATGTGTTCAACATAAAAAACAAAGTATATTTATTTAATAAACAGAGAAATCAACAGAAAGATTGATGAAAAGTTAGATGTAAGGTTACTTCATGACAAACTGAATTGTTTTCGCAGTTTGTAACTGCAATCAATTTATGAGTATGTTAATTCATATAATACATTTTAGAGCGTTCTAATATCAGATTCGTACGCTTACAATACATTGCAAGGGTTTGTTTCAATGCTTTTCTGGAGATACGACAATTTGTACAGAAAAAACATCCAGGACAGAAAGGAAAACACTAGACATACGACATTTTGAAAAAAGATGTTTTTTGTCTCTCCTGAAAAGTTGGGATTTTTGACTTACGACAATTTGATATTACAGCGACGGTATGCATTATTTGACCGGGGGGGGGGGGGCATATAAGCCAGGAACATAATATGTAGACTTTGAGTCTTATTCTAGTATATGAAATCGAGGACCCGTGACTCGAAAAAAATGCATGTATACGTTATTTCTCACAGTTTAGGTTGGAGCTAAAGCCCGGGAGCCCCCCCCCTTTCCCTCTCTCTCTCTCTCTCCTGTCCGCTATTGCTTTTATGGCTATGTGCATTGTAAGTTGTGACTCGTTGACTTGTTTAAAATCATTCTAAGTGAACGTTTTGAACGGATTATAATTCTTTAATCCAATTGAATTACATATTTAATTTATATTATATATATCTAACAAATTGAAAAAACCCCAATCGCACTCGAATATACTTAAAACCTGTGTGTTATAGTCTTGATAATCTTATGGATGATAGCATTGTTATCATAATTCAAATCTATCGATCCTATACATGACAAATACACTTCCTCTTACGGAAAGATAAAAATAAATAAAATGGATAAGCTCCCTTGCAAAGAGTATTATTTTAAATAATTTTTCAGAAAGATTAGTTTAGCATTCAAAAAAAGAGTCTTTTTTGATTCAAAATTTATTATTTTATAATGTTGTGCATCTTGTTTTCATTTAAATTTTAATATTTTCTTATTTTAAAGAATAATTTTAATAAAGCTAGTGAATAACTTATGTTTGTGTATAAAATATTAGATATACCCGCAAATTTCCTATCATCGTCGTGTCGACCGGGTTCGAATCCATGGCCTTGGGATAGGCCATTAGTACTTTGGAAAGTTCGGCTAAGGAAGTTCTTTAGCTGTAATCAATGAAATGACAGAAATTTAATTGGGTTGAGCAAATCAGCGTAAACTGGGACAGACTGCGGTTTGTCAGGGTGAGCAGAGTCAACGTTATTGGTTCAACGTGTTGAATCTGGACCCCTGGTATTGCGAGGATTGAGGTAGTGATCAATCGAGAAATCTTTAGTATGTAATAGTTTATGATTACATTTTTATGCCCCCGTAAACGAAGTTTCGGGGGTATATAGTTTTTGTCGTGTCCGTCCGTCTTTCTGTCTCTGTCTCTCTGTTTGTCCGCAAAAACTTTATTAACCTTGCCCATAACTTTTGATTTAGTTGAGTTATGACTTTCATATTTCATATGTGTATTCCTTGTGACAAGACCTTTCTTTGGGTACCACCAAATTTGACCTTTTGACCTTGACCTTGGAGTTTGACCCACTTTTACATGAAAATTTTAAACTTTTACTTTGGCCATATCTTTTGAACAGTAGATAACAGGACATACATACTTCACATATGTAATGTTTGTTGAAAGACCTTTCATTGGATACCAACAACCTTGACCCTTTGACCTTGACCTTGTAGATTTCTGTACTTGTGAAAAAACTTTAACCTTGGCCATAACTTTTGAAGGGTAAGATATAGGGCTTTCATACTTTATATATGTAATCCTTGTGAGAAGACCCTTTATTGGATACCAAGCACTTTTACCCTTTGACCTTGACCTTTGAGTTTGACCTACTTTAAAAAAGAAATCCTTGACCATAAATTTTAAAGGTTTAAGGCTAGCGCTCTCATACTTTACAAATTTAATCCTTGTGACAAGACCTTTCATTTGCTAACAAGAAATTTGACCGTTTGACCTTGACCTTAGAGTTTGACCTACTTCAAAAAAATTTTTAACATTGGCCATAACTTCTGAATGGTTAGGGCTAAGGCTTCCATACTTTACATAAGTATTCTATGTGGCAAAATCTTTCATTGGATACCAATTACCTTGACCCTTTGACCTTGACCTTGGAGATTTTGCACTGATTGAAAAAAACTTTAACATTGGCCTACTTTCAAATTTCACAATTGTTTTCCAGTGAGAATACCCTACTTTTGGTACCATTAAATTTGCATTTAAGAAAAGTTTAATCTTTGCTATGTTGCCATACGGGGGCATCAGTGTTTCACAAACACATCTTGTTTTCTTTTGGCTTTGAGGGAGGGGGATACCTGTAATGCATATTATTCAATGATGCCACACAGTTAAGAAAAATTCAATAAAGTCAAAACGAAATCGATTATTCGATGTTTACTATTTTCATATTCTCTCTATACCTCATAAATTTTCATTTGTTTTTAAGGGGGGGGGGGGGGGGTTAGCTATATAGTAAATAAATTTGAATGACATATGATAGTTGTAGGGCGTGCATATTTGACACAATTCATGCAATATTCCATGAATTACTTTTCTGATATTCTGAATGAAACATATGGAGATAACGAAAGTATTCAAGATCAAAAGTCCATATACATATATAAAACAAATACAAAATAGGAGCAGCGCAAACACGGACTTCTAAAACTTCGGAGGTGGGATCAGGCGCCATATGGAGGAATGAGCATCTCCTGCTGACCGGTCACTCCCGCCGTGTGCTCCTTGTCTTCATCGGGAAATAACGGAAAATTCCATCGTCAATTCAGTTTACAAATAATGGACAAACAATAAGTATGAAAAACGTCAGTCAGCATTTGACTCAGTGATAAATTGTATATTTGCTGACAAGGTCATTGTATCTACCATAGAACTTACAAAACGATGACTTTAAGCGAGACTGTTAAAATTCTTGTTTCATCAACTTGTTTTTCAATAATTTGCATCGTTTTAGAAATTGTTTACGTAGAGCATGCTCTCGCGTATCGAATCAACTGAGATGCGGGCGATGAAGATGCATTGCTGCTCAAGCAAGGGAAGTTGACGACAAAAAAGTCAAAGTCATCAAAGTCATCACGTGCATCACAGAGCTTGGTTGTTAGATTACCATTAATGTCTTTTTCAAGTAAAATATCCAAATACGAAACAGATGAGTCAGACTCTGTGGTGTCCTTTATCTCAAGCTCACCAGGATATATCTTATCGACATAAGAATGGAAACTATCATTGTAAATTGACGATACGTTTGCAGCTAACTGCAAAGTTTCATGTCACCTCACGATCTTTTTCGTCAGATGCATCCAGTGTAAACAATTCACGTGATTGGTCAACTCAAATTATCAACATTGACACGGAAATAGTCTGTTGAACAAGCAACCAATTAGGGATAAGAAGAAAGTTCCATTCGTAAAGCTTGCGGTTAGGAGGCATGTACAATTTGTCTTGAGTGTAGCGCTAGCTGTCAACTAGATCGTGACGTAACGTGAAACTTTACAGTTAGCTGCAAACGATAATATCTAAATGTCGAGTTGAAAGCCACAGCAAGTGTTTTCATCGATCTTTTCACGCATAAGATTTTGCACAAATTCTTTTTCATATGAGTACAAAAATAGGTCTGATAATAATGGGGCGCAAGTAGTACCCATGGGAATTTCAATAGATTATTGGAAGACCTGGTCTACAAAAACGACATAGATATTGTCAATCAGAAACTCAAGCATATTTTTATGTCAGTTTCAGAGTAACTGTGTGTACAATCAGAATGTCTTTTTAACAAAATAAATGACCAATGACAAGATAAGTAAATTTATGAGTTCCATTTTTATTTTAAAAAGACCCATGGCTGACGATGATGCCATTCCGCATTGGATACACTTCATCCCTGCCTTAAGCTGCCAGAATCTCATATCAGAATATTTTCATGAATATTTCTAAAACTGAGTATTACAATTACAATTAATGTGGGTTTTTTCTTTTATCAGTCAAAATTTATTTTTAATAAATTAATTCATCTATCATATTGTAATTTTTGAATTTACTAACTCCTAGTAAAATCAAAATTTATTACAACTGGATAGATGTTCATGCAACAGATTTCAATAAACGTCTTTGTGGCGCCCTTTGCTTTTCCCTTGGGGCTGTATGTAGGGAGGGGCTGGTGAATTAGGGAGCTCTCTATCGTCCCAGGACTTTGGGGAGGGTCCTAAGAACTGCTCAGCTTTGTTGACCGGTTTTGATGGTTTGGGGGTCACGGGGGTTTTCTTGTTCAGTTTGGAGATCATACTGAGGGGTACACCTGTGGGCGGTACGTTGTGGGACGGTGGGTAGGCGTTCATGGCGAATGGATACTCGTTGTCCAAGGCTTTTTTCTTCACTTTATCCTCTGAAAAAATAGTTTAAAAATAAATGAGCTTTCAAAAGACTTATGGTATACCGTTCACATTTTAATTTTCCAAGCATTGAACTGAGCACGACGTCTAATCATTGATATGATTATGCATTATTGTTTACAAAATTGTTTACGCGAGAAAAAAAATCTGTTCTGAAACAATAAACTACAGATGTATGTGGAAATCCACTCCAGTGGCTTTGGTTTGTCGTTTTATTAAATTTTTTTTATCTTGTACTTACTGCGACAGCAGTAACAACAGAAGCAGAGTATGATAATCAGAACAAAGACAGTGATGATCGGAGGAAATATCAGGTACCTAAAATAAATTAATAAAATATTGAAAATAAGATCAAATTTCTATAGAACACAATCAAATCATACACAAAGAATGTGATATACTAAATAAAATCAAATTTCTGTATACAGGGTTATTTTTGCCCTGTCTTATTCACCCCTTTACACTTGCAAAAAAAAATTCTACACTTTTAATTTCGCCCAATCATAGTTTTGTTTTCAGAAAGTATACCTTTTTCTTCGAATTCTCTCCGTCTTTTAATTCGCTAACATGTGACAAAGACGAAAGTGGCGAAAAATAACGCGGGGCGGAATTTTCCCCGTACATAATATATGTTTTTTAAAAAATGAATTTTAAATGGATAACAAGAATATGGGAATATTTAAAAAACTTCAATCATGATTTTGAGTGAGTAAAGAAAAGTAAAGTAAAGAATGAACAATCTTACGCCAAAGCAATACAGGCTCCGTCGATGCCACAAACAAAGTCTGGTCCGCAGCATTTTCCGTTTCCTTGGTTACAGCAGGTGTAGCCAGCATCGCAGTAAAGCTCTTTTCCCTCTTTCATACACACTTCCCCTACTCCTGCAAGTTAGTGAAAATCAAAACACGCGCACTAAGTAACTGACAGAATAATATTTTTTATTATATATTTCAAATCCAGAATTGCTAGTATATTTGTTTCATTTGTTCAAATGAATTTTTATAAGAACTTACAGACCAGTATAAGTACGGCAGAAGGTTTAGATCTATAGCATAGACAAATCAAGAATCATTGTAAATGGGTACAATTAATTGCTTCCTCATCCATTATGTTAAAAAACAAAACAAAACTTTTTACACTGGATAACATATGCGTAAATTTTTACATAACATGCACATATGTATAATATAAATTGAATTTTATTTTAAGTACATATATTGCATGCTTACCTTTAGAAATATTTATACATACTACGAAAATAAATATCTTTGAAAGAAAATAAACGTTTTCCATTTTCTTTACTTTCAGGTGTATAACATGAAAAAGAATATGACCATGCACTGTGTTTTCACGTCACGTTGGTTTTCTATGTGGCCAATGACACGGATCACTTTGCAAATGAATGTGATCATTAATTAAAGTTGAACATGAACATGCAAAAAGGTCTAAACTTGTATTTTTCTATGACATCTATAAGATGGAATTTTCTAAAAATGTTTTATCGTTTTTTTTTTAATTTATTTAAAACAATGCAATTTTTATGTTTATGGGGATTTCAAGCTACAAAAAATAAAATATTGCTTTGCAGCGCAATATCGTTCGGGATCGATTTTGCAAACCATTGGAACTCTTTTGTAATAGAGATAGGATTTTGAGTGACAGAAAATCCACCTATTGCAAAATGTCAACAAACCAGACGCTTTTACGGTTTTAAAAAGTCAGACCCAAAAGGATGGTTTACAACGAATCAGCGGAATGTCCTTTATTTCCAGACAATCCTGGACACTGCGTAAGAATCTATTTATTTGAGATATAATTCATTGTTTTTGGAGCCAAGTGTTTGATACAAATCAGTCATTTTTCATTTAAAAAATCTTGATACAAATGAATTGTGTTGGATTTTAACTACTGTTTGATGTAGGAAATAATTTTTGATAGCTTAATTTAGACAATTTTTTTCGTTTTTGATCTTTCCAGATGTTACAGGTCTTAATGCATCACTATATGATTTATTATTATTAGAATCAAAACAAAAAGAACACTATAAGATAAGATAAGATAAGATATGTTTTATGACTAATTCAGTGCCCAAATGAGCATAAAGAGTATAAACTTACAAGAAAACAAAAGATGAACCTATACAAACATGTAAAATAGACATATGATCTTTGTATATATACATATGTATCATATTGTTTGATGTATTTAGGAAATAATTTTTGATTTTTGAACTTAATTTTATAAGACAATTTTTTTCATATGAATTTTTGATATCTTTTTTACTTTTATCATTTTTTATGTTTTTTCAGATTTGTAAAAAGTCTTTTAATGTGATCTTCATTTGCCACTATATACTGATATATATTACTATACAGTGTTTGTAACAGAATTACTTATGCATCAACAGATCAACTCATGCGTCATGTTGATGAATAGACATGATGTAATTAAGGAAATATCTTTATTTCACAACAAATCAACAGGAAAACCATGATAACAAAACGTAGACTAGGATGTTCCTTCCTTGTGGTACTTTATTGTATTTATCTCCCACAAGATCAGCTGAAGATGAGGAATTTGATTATTTATTATTTAAAAACAAGTAGACTGAACATGTTGTAGTCATGTAATATCAAATTGATATATACGAGCCAGTATGTTAGATAAAATTAAATACAGCATCTGGTATGTTAGATAAAATGAATTATAGTATCAAAATGATGCATGTATATTGTGGAATTAACAAGACACCCGTGGACACTAATGCTAAGTAAAATTTAGTGAATTGAGTAATACTCTAATAAATATCAATTCTAAAAATAAATCAAACCTTTATCTTGCTTTTAAACTTTAAATGCAGGATTTTAACTAGTAGTATTTTATTTACATTGCATCAAATAAATACATTTTCAGGCTGTAAAATATTCATTCTTGTAGAAGCTTGTCGATAACATTTTGTGTGAACATTTAACCCCCCTCCCCCCATTACCTGCTCATAGGCCTATGGTTTGAACAAATTTGTGTTCTTGTCATGATAAAGTCCCCATTAGAAGTTTAATTTATATCATGCTTATTGTGTTCATATAATCCTTTCTAAGAACTAAAAATAAGAAAGTTTTAGATATTATTATTGTATCATCAAAAAAGTCCATTTGATTTACCCGGTAATGTATGATATATTGCAAGCAAGCATATTTGAAACACACATTTGTAAATGGTGTAAAGTTTTAAATTTTAACTCGTACTAAATAGGATACATCATTTAGATTAGCATTAAATTTTTTGAATTCTAATATTTTTTTTTACTGTTTGGTAACAGGATGCTCTCATTCATGTAAGGCGAGGCATAGCTTCCATTTCTCTGATAGGATGGTAAGAAATTTATTCTCCTAGCTGTTTTGAAAAAAAATGAATAGAGATCTTATCATTAATTCAAACTTGACTTGTTGCATATTTGTTAAGACTTTTTCCTTTCAAATGTTTAATAAATTACATCTGAATTAAATCATATCAACATGATGAATAGTAACAACAAATTGTACCCTGTTTTCAACTAACTGAAATAAACTCTGAAGTTTAGAGGAAAAATGATTTTGTGAATCTACTGACTGAATGTATTGTTTTTTGTTTATAGTTTATTTATGATCATTGTGATATGGCTCTTCAGAAAACATGCTGCATTTTCACAGGTAATTTATTTTCTGATCAGATATATTTACTTTTGCATAGATATACAAGGTTTTAATAAATATTATATTAAGTACAAGTTCAATAAAATTACAGCATAATCAATATGGTCAGTATAATTTGCAATTTTACATCACTGCATTAATTATTAAAAAATGTTCTGAAGGGTGTAAACGAGGCATGACCACACATGTTTTATTTCTATTATCAATCATCATTAGATGTGACAAAAGCCAAAAATACCCATAACTTTCCATTTTATTAGGAAGCTGCTTTTGCTGTTGCCAAAACATTTGCACCATCAGTTTTTATGAAGTTGAAAATTTGCCAATCAATTGTCAATGAAATCAATTTTTTTTAAATAATTTTTTTTTAAAAAAATGAACAAATGATAAAGTAATTCAGATTTCAATAAGTAGCAAATTAAATAAATATTTATGATATAAATATCGTAAATTTTTTCATGTCTAACAGTTTTTATTACTGATTAGAGTTTTTAGGGAATATTCAGAATTTTTCACCATTTAAAACAGGAGTGGCACAAAGCAATAATTGTCCTAATATTCTTTTCTTCTTTGTTTAAAAAGTAAAGAAATCAGCTTATAGTTTAACTTTACTTTTTTTTTTCATTATAAAAAAAAACATTACTAACTTGAAGAACTCGTAATAAAATTACACTCATGTCATTCCTAGCTAGCTAGGCTAAAATTTTTTGATTGCTATTTCTGGTATTAATCCTTTTTTAAAATTTTTGTAGAGACTGATCTTGTATCTGAGTATTGCCGCTTTCTTTGACAGTATAGCTTATTTAATGGTGAGTGACATAATTATGTAGTTCAAATGGTATGTTAATGTGTAGTTATTAGAATAAGCATGAAACTTGTGAAATCAGATTTTACACCCATGTTCTTTGTATAAATTATTCTCATTGAGGAATCCAAAGAAATGGAGTATAGCATTAATAATTACATTACGCAGAGTGTTTGATGACATATCTTTTTTTTTAGGGAGATATACGCCCAGATGGACCCATGTGTGATTTTCAAGCCTGGTGGTTAAGTTACTTTGGTAGGTCTGGTTTGAAGTTTTTATGAAGGCATATTTTTATTTTATACTCAGATATGAATAACAAAAGCAATATAAAATGCATTTGATTTATCTGAAAACTGCATATTAATCACTGATTTTTTTTTAGTTAAGTTTTAATGACTATGATGCAAAAATAAGAGATTAAAGCTTTCAAATTGTCGGCCATATTCAAAATTTTCAAATATCTATCATTCAATGGATTAAAATCTATTTACAGACTGGTGTGTGTTGGTTTGGGTGTGTATAATCACATTCAATTTATTTATGAATGTAGTAAAAACCAGAAATATAGAGAAGTTTGAAATGTGAGTACTTTTTGAGTGAGCAATGTTTTGTCTTTCATGAACTTTTTCATAAAACAGTGTATTTGTCATTGAGCAATGGTGATTGGAATTGTTTCGTAAATATGATTAATTCCTGCAATTTCAAGAAATATGATAATTTTTCTTTGTCTTTCAGACTGTTCCATATCCTAGGATGGATTGTTCCTGCTGTTATTTCGTTCCTACCATTTGCTGGGAACCATTATGGACCAGCAGGTGCTTGGTGGTATGTATTCATAAAGATACTGATTTTGTGTCCATGAACAGCTTTTACTGATCTGTCAAAGAGACTCACCGAAGACAAAATTCTTTTCTTGGAAATTTCTTTTACATTGTATTGACAAGATTATTTCCCAAAAATTTATTGCATTACAAGTTATACTAAGCAAACATCTATCACAGTGTTTGCAGAATTTTTTTTTTTAGAAAAGCATATACATGTATATTGTGTATAGTATTCATTTTTGTTCATTCATGGACCACCAAATATTATCCAGTAAATATAGGGTGAAGAATTAGATTACTGTAAAAGTACTTTTTTCCGCGTGGTATTAATTTACGCTATGTACGCGGTCACAAATTTTCCGCGGAAATTTGTCCTAGCGTACTTAATATAAATGTAAGGCATATATTGACAATCTTTTTTCTACACGCGGATTAAACAGATATATAAAAAAGTACGTCTACAGTATTTAAACCCCCCAGTAACCCTCACTTTTCTGTGTTTTATAACAGCTGTTTGTTGTTGTTACAGCTGGATTGTAAATGATCTTGGTTGGAGATTTGGAGTGTGAGTACATTTAAGTAACCATGCATTCTTTGTTTTTCGTTTCTTAATATACAAGTATTTTATTTCCTCCATTTATTTTATTACATGATAAAGTTTTGAAAAGTAAATACAGTTAACTTCATTATCTGGAACACTGATATCTCAAATTCAGGTTTTTTAATGCATATGGAAACTCCTATATTTTTTATACTCTAAGTTTAAAATGTTTATGATGTCCAAAATTAAAAGAGAAAAAGCCAAAAATCAAAAGAAATACATGTACATTCTTTAACAATATTTTTATTTTCAGATGGTATGGACCGTTATTTATAGCCATTACAGTATTGGTTGTGACCTATATTTACATCATTGTCACACTGAATAGAAGAGTAAGTGCTTCATATAAAACAATTCATTCACCACATGGACCTTTCTTCAATTACACATTCATATATGTTTTATAGATAAAAATCACCTAAACAAGCTTTGATAATTTTTTTGTCTAGTTGTCCACTTGGAAAGGTACATATGATGCAGATACCGAGAGACAGACAGTCATGCTTAAAGATGACATCAAATCTCTAAGAGCCTACCCATTTATATATTTGGCTGCCTCCATATTTCCTCTTATAAACAGGTCTGTGTTGTTATTCATACTTTATTTACAGAGCTCTTAAAAGATATGACTTGTACATGACTGTATGTAATGATTAAAGGTTTCCTTTACATGTATATTTGTTTGAGGATATAGGGTGTTTTATAACATCTTAAACATGTTAAACTGAAAACAATCAAGTGAAATCAAAATTATTTTCTAACTAAAAGTATGCAAATTCAAAGAGAGAAAGGTCTTAGAAATGAGAATTTTGTTTGAAAAAAAAAACAAAAAATAATTGGTTTATGAAAAATTATTATTCATTACATCACATTGAAACTTGCATCTGTCCATTCAAGAATACATGTATATATTTTTTCCACTGGTTACAATATCCAAATTTGAGGTAACAAGCTACATTAGAATACCTTCTATGTTGATTCTATTTGAATTCTCCTACCTGGTACATTTGACTTATTACAGAATACAGAATGCTGCCTCACCAGATGAGCCTGTTTTTGCTCTTGTCATACTGGCCGCACTCACAGCTCCCTTGCATGGTAAATATCCTTGACCTCTGACCAATAACCTTAATATCCTTGACCTCTAACAAGTAACTTTTATTTTCACTCATGTCATAACACTGTATAGTATACATATACTTGGTTTTAAAGGTGCAATGAATGCCATAGTATTTGGAATGGATAGAGAAACATTAAGGAAGCTCACCCCTACACAGATCAAGGTAAAATCCATAGCACAGTGCATGTTAATTTAACCATCTGCACTGCACTTGAAATTCTTCACTGGGGAAATAGTTATTGCACACATTTACCTCCTATTAAAGTCAACTATTAATAGTGAAACATGCTTATAATGAAATGCCAGGAACGACAAAGAAGAAGGTATGGTTTTAGCTTTATTGAGCCCTAAAAATGTAATGACATCAAAAAGTTTTAAAACTGGCTTAAATATTTGTTAAATAAATGACTCTGATAAATCAGGAAAGAATTTGGCATAAAGGTTTACCATTCTGCAATTATGACGTCATAAATGAGAAGCTTTTCTCTATTTTCAACAGAAAAAGCCTCAAACTGGCACATTTCAAGGGTGGTTTTCCTTTAGAACACAGTGTCCACAGCCGTCGCCCACGTTAATTTTTTGATATTTTGTGCAAAATTCAATAACAAATCACATATCTCAAGATCTTTATGGGCGATACCTGTGGACAATGTTATCTGAAAGAAAATTCTATTGAAAATTGGTGTCTTCTGCAACTTTTTAAGAAAATAAAAATGCACATGTTTATGACCATAATTAGCATTTAACGTAGGTAGCGGGTTTACAGGGCTTTTAAAAGTGTACGAAAACATACCATGAAAATTACCTATATGATTTCTCTACCTTTGATTTTCATTCTCTGAAAATTTTATAAAATTCGTCTGCACCGTTTTTGTGTAATTGAATTCCAAACATTGTTGTAGTTACATTTTCAACGGTATTCTATTGAATTGTATAGGAAAAACGTCGTTTTTGGCTTGTTTTCAAGGTTTTGATTAAAAAAATATCGATAACTTTTAAATCGTGCAGACGAATTTGTTTATCCTTTGGTATTTAAAAATAAAACTGATTTGAAATAAATCTATGTAAAAAAATTAATATGTCTGCGGGTTCATTTTTTCTTATTTTCTAAGAACAAGTCATAAAATATAACGCTTGACGATGTGATTATCGAAACATATATCTGCTTTCAAATGACCAGTATCATAATAATTACTATTAGACATTTTTTTCCTTTCAGCTTATTACGTCTAATATTATTGAAAATTCACGTAAAAGGCGTAAGCCAACAATCAGTCCTTTAGTTTCCTTTTTGTGTTTATTTCTAACCGTTTCTTTTTTTTATTCATGCGCGGATAATTTGCAAAATAAAAGTTTGTATTCCCCTCTGGACTTCTTGATTAAGTTTGGTTGATAGGTATGCAAGGACTACTAACATCCCCAACCCCCAAATATGTTTTTTATGCTTTGTTTATATCCCTTTTCGTCAGAAAATTCAGCAAGGCTATCAAATCAACAATAACTTCTTCTGAATCATGCATTTATTGAAAAAAATAGTTATTAATTTGATTTTATTTTATGCTTAATATACGTACAGTGTATAAGGATAGTAAAAAAGCGTACTTAAAAGGAATTTTATAGGGGTAAATGGGACGATAATTTAGGCAAAAAAAAAAAATTAATTTCTTGGTTCTCAGGCCCTCCCTCATCTCTTCCAAGGGTGCCTCATTGACCCTTTTTATTGCTAAATCAATAAAATATAAGCATTTTTTGAGGTTTTGTACAATGTAAAAAGCTGCCTCATCATGTTTTGTTTCATCATATTTCTTGAAAAAAGGCCTCCTTAAACATTAATTTTATTTGGCACAATCAACTTTTAATGTATACATATAACATTAATTCAAAAACAACGCAGCGAATAAAATATGTATGCGTAGGAGTATCGAACCCCCCTCCCTTTTCTGTTTTTCTGAAGGTTTCCCTATTTTGGATTTTTAATACGTATTGCATGTTATTAATAATGTTACCCTTTTATCTCTTTACGCTGTTTTTAAATACATGTTTTTTTTACATAAAAAGAGACAGTTTTTCTTCACTTGCATGATCACTATCTAAAGCGTAGAGAATTTTTAAAAATAATTAAATCAACATTCACATTAGGGTGGAGTTAAAATTTAAAAAATGGAAAGTTTACTCAGTCGTTGTACAAGAGGTCAATCCGCTCAAAAATGTACATATATATATTATATATATTATATATGATTTAGTTTATGTTTCATTTGTATTACCCCGGTAGTGCCTTAGCAGTTTTTAATTTGTGATCAACCTTTATATAGATTTGTCTGAGATAAGCACATACCGTTTCATAATTGAGTTTGACTGTCCATCGGTGAACAAAGTTTTGACGCTGTTTACGGAGATAAATGAAAACAAAGACATACATGCTATATATGGTTGTGTAGATAAATTATCGTAGAAGACAATGGTAATAAACAGTTTGTTAGTGCATTTCCACTAAAATGATAGTGCTTTTTGTATTACCCTTCTTAATGTTTGTTTTATAATTATACACATGTAATACATGTATTTAATACTTAAAAATCACATGCATATTGAAATGCAGTGTAGCATGACAGCATGTTCTATGAATATGTTACTATAAACTACTTTCAACAAAAGTTACAGCTCAGCTGTGCACAAGTCATATGTGTACCCAGTTTTAATGACGTCAGCAAACCCGCGACCTACGTTAAAAGCACATGTGAGAAAAATTACTTGTATGATTTTTCTGCATTGAATTTCAATTATTTAAAAAGCATGAGTTTTCAATTTTAACATCAGTTTTATTTTTTAGAAAATCACAGGGCAAAATTTGTATGGAAACCATACCTTCTTCTTTGGATTTGTTATAATTGTGATTTATTACTTCTTTTAAGGTGATATGCATGCATTGCTAAACTTTAAAAAAAATGTTATCAATTCATTCATTATTAATTCATTATGAGCATGTTTTAAAACTATATACTCTTAAAGAATTCCAATCTAATGTTTTTTACAGCTAATCTTTTTTGGAAAAAAAAAATAAGAGGTTGTAAAATCATGGAGTTATTATACTTATTTGGTTTTGTAAATGGATGATTTACTTGTCATTTTCATGACTGAATGGCAGAGAACATAGTGCTTTTTGTATTTCCCTTGCTAATGTTTCCCATATTGCATATTACAGTGTAGCATGGCAGGGTCCCTATAGCTCAGCTTAAGTTGTCATTATCAGCTGTTGGAAAAATATGAGGCTTTGTTCATGAAGTTACCCAGATTTTCAATGTTTCTAACACAGTTTGAATGTATCTTTATTATAAGCCAGAGTAAGCTGCTCAAAGTTATTTAACATAACATTAACTGTAATGTACATCTACAAAATCTAGTTTAGATTAATCTGTGTGCATGTGTTACAAAATTTTGTTAAAGAAGTGTTTCAAAAATGTCATCTGCTGCTGAAACTGCTCTTTTTTGACAACAGATGGCGTTTTTGAGCCACAGAGTAAATCCTGGCAAAGTGAGGGAGTACCCGGTAGCATCTTATTTTACTTGTCCCGAGGAAAGCCCCTCCTCTCCTCTGATGGAGGATTCTGCTCATAACAAGTTCTCAAGCATGTCTCAGACCAGGAGTCATTGAGTTGTTGTTCAGGTATCCATCACTGTGTCATAGCATCCTGACTTTTCGTTTACCGGTAGTTTAGTCTTTTTTTTGGTCTGTTTTTTTTTGTGCTTTTTAGCTGAATTAAGCCAGAGGCTCACTTTTCTGATTACAAATTGTCCAGCGTCTGTTTTTTAATGGTTAGTACTTGTGTATTGTATGAAGTGTCTTTGCCACACTTTTATCTCCTCTAGAATGTATGGAACACAATCAATCAAATTTATAATCATTCATTCTTTTTTGAGGAGATACATGTGTAATGTATAATAATTAAATAAATTTTTAAAAAATAGAATTAAAGATTGTTTCACTTAAAAATCTTCTTAAGATCTGCAAGTTCAGAAAAGACAACTTCAAAAATCCTTGCTGCATATTCTAGATGATTTGAATTTAATGAAAATATCCCCTCAAATGCCTCAATGGTGGATGACCTATACTATACCTCAAAATTGATCCTGGTAAAAGAATTGCAATACAAATGTACAGTTTATTATGATATGCGAAACCAATATGTGATTAATGTCTTGTATATGGACTTTAACTAAGATTGAGCATTGACAGAGACTAGACAAATATGTAATTCAAGTGAGCATTGTGACCAATAACCCTTCTGTTTTATGTTGTTTTGTGTTATGTGTGTGCATGATTCCAACTCTTAATTTACTTTTTCCTCAAGTAACGGATAATTATAAATATACTACTTTGTCATGCTAATTATCTTTTTTCTTAGTCTTTGAATGTTTTTGATATTCTATGGATGAAAACAATTTGTGAAACCATAACAAGGGCAACGGCAAATGTATTACAGGACAGAAATTTCCTCATATACTGCAACAACAATTTTCTCTGTCATATTCAGAAATATTTAGATATTATGATTTCATCTTGGTAACTAATTACTTGTATGTTTGTGTTCATTTTATATGTTTATTTTTGCGGTAGCATGTTAATGTCATTAAACAAAATACTGAAAGTGCACACAGAGATGGAACTGTTTCAAAAATCAACATCAGCTTCCTAAGGCTATATATCTGCATATCATTCAGGGTAACAAATTTTAAAGTAATATGCTCTGCTTAGGGTAACTGCATATTAGTCAATGTCTCAAAATTTAAACATGGTATTTAATAAGAAAAGGAAAAATTCATTGAAATGCAGTTTAATAACAAATAAAGGTATATTAGTAATAGAGCTGGACAATAATATCGATATTTCAATATATTGCAATACAATGGCAAAAAATATCGTATCGCAATACGATTTTGTAATATCGATATATTGTTACTAATAACATTAAATATAAAAATGGACTTATGAAAGTTTGTTATTTAGCCAAATAGTAAGTCAGAAGTTGTTTTGTGGGAACATTTCAGAGCATAACTTAAATGAAATCAACAAGATCTTTTTTCCGTATTGGTTACTTATCATTGTTATGTACATTCCGCATGTAAATTAAAGTAAATTTAGTAAGAAAATGCCATTTTTATTACATTGAAAATATTGCAATACATATTGCAATCTTTAAAAATATCACAATATATCGCAATGACTTTCAGAATTAATCAGATCTTTGAAATGCTCGGAATTTTGGTAATCTCTGTACTAAAATACTTTCAGAATTTCAGGGTGAATCAAAGACCTGTGATGTTTATCAGATTGTCTTTAAACACAATAACCAGGTCAAAGTTTTAACTTCAATAACATTTTTTTTAAAATAGCAGACCATAATTAATTCTAAGGATCAAAAATAATATTCTTAAAATCTAGAATTAAGACAAGTTTTATGTTGTTTCCAACTCTGAAATTTGCTTCCAAAAGAAGATTGACAGTCATATTCAAATTAAGTTAAGCAGAAAATGCTGAAAATAATTTTTTAAAAAGAAATAAAGTATGCACAAGGTTAATACTTTTATAATTGAAAGAAATAGATAATTATTTTCCCCTGACTCTAAAATTTTCCTAAAAGAAAGTACTGGTAAAAATGATGCTAAATAGTGTTGTATGTAACATACTGAAGTTTAAGCATACCGGTAATAAATGATCTGAAATATATTTTCCATCCTAGGTGGCTTTTATGGCCAGAATAACCAAAAAAGCTGCAATACAGGAGCTTGATTCAGCACCCAGTATGTCGGGTGAAGAAAATAGGCAGGAGGAATGAATCAAAAGGTTATATTAACTGGAGATGGCGATGTTTGTACCAGTGGAAGAAAGTGCGGGAAATGGAGGATTTTTAATTATCAACTTTGAGTAACAATGAAAGCAGTCCAAGTGATAAGCAGCATTATTATATGATTGAATAATTCCTGTCTCTCTGGTTGGGTGAGATCCAGCAATGTAGAAAAAGTAATATGTTATATTCACCTGCATGTGACCTTCCAGGTGAATATAAGGATTTATTTTCTCTACATTGATCTAAAAAAAAAAGATCGGGAAATTCCAAATTGATACAAATAGTTTTAGAAAGTTATTTCACCTGCTACCGATTTTTGCTCAGGTGTACATAACATTAGGAATATATAACTTGGGGTGAAATGGGGTGCATAGAACCCCCACCCCCTTCCCCCAAATGAGAATTTTTACTTCAATTTAGAATAAAACTATTTTTTGAAAGGCTGTTCCCCTACAAAAGTGCTGATTTTTTTTTCAACAGCTAAAGCAACTAAAGACATTTAAAATTAATACCTGGTAATGCTTTATATACACTGTTTTTCTCATTGCATTTGGCTAGTACTTCAGGAAATGTAAACAATATGACATGGACTGCTCACATAATCATTGAATCATATAAAAAAAAACAATTACATTGTTGTTTTATCAGTCAATACAATGATTTAGCCACCTTCAAAGTACAATAATTACCTCACTCAAATATTGAACTCTTTGGGTGGTTAAATCATTGTATTGACCTAAAAAACAGCAATAAATGTATAATGTTTTCCATGATAATTTTATTTTTCTATTTTCTCAACCTGATTCATGAACAAATTATATATACAGGTAGAGATAATTTTTGCCTTTTGTTTTTGTTGTTGTTGCTCTGTTACACTGTGAACAAATATATATATGTATATTTAATACATTTTAAATGTTGAACCCCCCACCCCCGAAAAAAAGTTAAAAAATGCTCCTTTGTAAAAACCAAAAATGAGTATATCAGACCCTACTGACCAATTTCAATAGATAAAATTTTTTTAGCTTAATATATCATATTTTGTCAGTCTTTTAGATTGTACATATAAACCCATAGCCTTATAACCATCAAAGTAAAATGAATTTAAATGTTTAAAAAGGTAAGATGAGTTTCAAAATCTTGCCTAGAGATAAAATTAAAAAAATATAAAGAATATTACTCAATACATTTTGTTAATTTCATAATCACTGAATAATGACAAAACCCACCCACCTCGAAAACTATGCACAAAGTAAGAACAAATTTTAGAACAAAGTAAGAACAAATTTTAGAAGATCGTCTCACTATGTTTTATGTGAATGTTTTTTGACAGTATATATTTTGCTTAGTGCATTTATTTTTAGAAGTACATGTAACTTTATAAAATGTTTAACATATGCTTCCAATTTATTTGGATGACATAATAATAAATGTACTTGAAATGAATTTTATACATTAGCCATATACATGTATGTGTTCATTTTTCACACAGCTAATTATTTGAATAAAGCACTTAACAAGGTGTTAGAAGAACAATATGTATTTAAAACCAAAATCAACAGTATTTATAAACTTATTTTTATTTTATACAACATTATTGTGACCAAATATATCTGATATAATATCATTTTGAATAATTGTGTACTACAGATCCAAATGAAAAATAAAATTGCTTCTCTGATACGCATCCAATTTCACATTTACTAGAATTACACAGGTATAATAAAATGATTTGATTCTGTGTGTAAAATAACTATGTAATCAAGCTAATGAACTAAATTTGTAATTGGTGCTTTGGTTCCCATTTATTAATTGAGTCTTGTCATAATATCTCCTATTATTTATTTGGTAGGAATACAAGTGAATATTTTTATTTATATAATGAACAGTTATTTATTTTTCCTCTGGTCATTGCTATTTATGTCTGTATGTAATTTGTATGTTGATTCAATACATGTATAAGCCCACTAAACATGAAATAAAACAAACCACAGTTTGACAAATCTGTTTCATATGTGATTATTACCAGATATGACCACTGATGGCAAACTTACATGTACAACTTAATTTTATGGTCAGTTGGTTGACCAACTTTTATCCTCATCTTCCCATATTCATGCATCTTTACAATCAATTTCTATACAGGGTACTGATAGATAAGTTGATGTTACAAGGAATATCAACAGATTTTTTTGGAGTAAAACATTTTGGCAGTACATTGTCATTGTTTGAAAACATTGCTGCAACCTATTGAAATAACAACCATTATTGAAATAAGTATTGCAACAAAACACAACATGGCATTCTAACAAATGATACCAAAGCAAAGTTGATAAGCTGACCTGTTGATTTCATATATCAATTTCACAACAGGATAATCTTATTATTGTGATCACAACAGAGGATATACTCCTCCATGGCACCTGGTCCAGTCTCTGAAAATTGCTGGTATCCGTCCTTTCCCTCCTCTCAGTTTTGAATCAATGTAGTTGATCAAAGTTTTGATCACTGTTTCTTTATATTTATTTTGCAAGGTGTAAAATTTAAGGGTCTTTTCTCAAAATGAAATATTTCTCAAAAGAGGTCAATATTATTATACACTCCGCTTGAAAAGTGAGAGGATATATATATATATATATATATATATATATATATATATATATATATATATATATATATATATATATATATATATATATAGTGATCGGGATGTCCGTCTGTCTGTACGTCCGTCCGTTTCGCTTTGGAGTACCCATCTCTTGTCTGCAATGCCTCTTATACCGCTGAATGAAATTTAATGAAATTTTCATATGCCATGCATTGTGACCTCCTATATTATTTTTGGATCTGACACCTATTTCCGGTTTCCCATAGCAAAACATTGTTCTTTCTTTAATATTGAAGGGAACCCATCTCTTATCCGCAACTCCCCCTATACCACTGTATAAAATTTAATGATACTTTCACAATTTCTTTATTACATAATGCCATTGTGACCTTCTATTTCCCATTTTACTTTCTGATCTGACTCTTTTTTTGGCGTCTCCCAGAGCATAGCGTGGATTTTGCCATTATAATCACATGGAAGGCTGGGGTATCATCTAGTGAGCTCAATGCTCATAGTATCTCTAGTTTTCTTTTAATTTGTGGAAAAATGTTCTGAGCTTTTTTTATTAGATAAATCCCATTCAGCTGTTCAGAGAAAATTTTTGAATCTGTTCTTAGTTTTTGAATTATTAATCCACCCGCTTGAAAAATGGGAGGGTATATCGTGATAGGGATGTCCGTCCGTCTGTCTGTACATCCGTCCTTTACGCTTTACCCTCCTCCTTTACCACTGATTGAAATTTCATGAGACTTTCACAGAATGTTTGTTACTTAGTGCCGTTGTGCACTACCTATTTTACTTTTTTCGGGTTTCGCAGAACAAACCTTTGACACTGCCACTATTTCTATAATACAGCTACGTATATTCTTTTTGCAATGAAACTACATTATCGAATTTGTGTACAAGTAATAACCATTATATGTATAAAATATCCCATGTCGAACATAAATATTCTATAAAATCATCTTAAGTTTTCAAAATCGATGTTTTAAAGATGAACCTATTTAAAGTTTACCAGTATGTATGTACATTTGTATGATTCTACCAGAGGTATTTACAATTTAAATAAATCAAGCTTTCTTTGATACTATTTAGGTGAAATTTTAAAATTGACTTCTCAATTATGAGCATTTTTCTGGGCACCTTGCACATTCTCCATACTCGTCTTGGTGTTGTCGAAATGTAGCGCCGAAAAAAGGACAATGCTGCATAGGGAAATCATGCGAAAGGTTATAGGATAACAAAGTATTGTTTATCTTTTAAAATATTAAATTGTTACTATTGAAATTAAATTCTTCCTTTCGTACATGTATGGTCTGAAACTTTGAAATGTTTCGATGGGACGTATCTTTCATTATGGTAGATTTCAGACAGTAACCCTAAACCTTTTTAACATAAAAAACAGTCATGCTATAATCATCTTGCGCTATAGAGCTGTATTATTAATGTACAGAAAATACAGCTGTTACTTGAGCGGCATTGTTACTGTATCTAAGCAAGGCAAAGTACTGCTTTTAAAAAGAACGGTTATAAAGACAGCAGCATTTGACGAGAAACCAAGAAAAAAAAACATTTAAGAACTATCATAATCTATCAGCCAAGAACATATCAAAATCCTACCAACAATATGTTTGAATTATGTTTTAAATTAGTGAAATGAATTTAAGATAGAATTAAAAATCACTTCAAAATATACTTAGTTACAGTTCTTGGAGGCGATTATTGATAGTTTCAGCGTTTTATCAATGGGACTTTATTTAATTTGTGCGAAAAATTATGCGAGTTTAAAAAGTGCGCGGAACTGTTTTGAAGGTCTACTTAATCCACAACTCCTCCTTTACCACCGAATAAAAATTTAATGATACTCTCACAGAAAGTTTGTTACATAATGCCATCGTGACCTCCTATTTACCTTTTTAATCTGACACTTATTTCTGGTTTCCAAGAGCAAATCACGGGCTTTGCTCATATGATTATATGGGAGGCGGGGGTAAATTTTTTTTCAATAGACATTAAAAATGCATAAGCCTTTCAAAAACTAGAAGTACTACGAGCAATGAGCTCACTAAATGATCCCCCGCCTCCCATAAAGAATCTGTGAAAGCATTATCAAATTTTATTCAGTGTTTTAGGAAGAGAAGAGTAGGGTACTCCTTAATATGATAGAAAAAAAAATCCGTGTCCATATTTTGCTCTAGGAAACCCAATATATGTGTCCGGTCAAAAAGTAAAATAGGAGGTGCATAATGACACAATATAACAAAGCATCTGTGAAAGTCTCATTAAATTTCAATCAGTGGTAAAAGAGGAGTTGTGGATAAGAGATGGGAACCTCAAAGCCTAAGAGACGGACGTACAGACAGACCGATGGACACCACGATCACTATATACTCTCCCGCTTTTAAAGCGGGGAGGGGTATAATAAGATGCTCATTTTATATCTGTTTATCCCTGCGTTGCCTGCTGGAATAGTCATGCAGCAATTGCAACTGGATTCACACTTGCAACATTTGGCCCTCCATAATACGCAAATCATGACATTGCAACTCTATAAAGAATTGCTATCTATTGCATTTCCTTAGAGAGTTGTGATGTCATGATTTGCGTATTATGGAGACTAGCCCAATGATGCAAGTGTGAATCCAGTTGCAATACTGAGTAGTTCAGCCAATCACCCTAGTCTAGTTCCCGAGACCTTCCGATTGTGCTAGAGTTTTGGCATCAAGTAAAAACACGAAATTCCATGCATTATTTGAAATTAAATTAAAAGTTCTGCTTAGTAAATTTCTACTTCAAAGGATAATTATTAGTCCAGCCATTAATGACAATGAAACTAAAGGTACTGTGAGCATTTAGCTCACTGATACCACCCCTCCCCCGCTTCTCATATGACTATAATAGCAAAGTCAATGATTTCACATAAAGCAACCGAAATCAGGTTCTAGGGCCATGTAACTACGAGTTCAACAATAGTATCTATTTAATAATATGAAATAGATGCATTTCTATGTTTTGCACCGAGAGACCCTAAATAAGTGTCAGATCATATTAGTAAAACAGAAGGTGCACAATAGTACTATGTAACAAATATTCTGTGCGAGTCTCATTAAATTTTATCCAGTGGTATAGGAGGAGTTGCGGATAAGAGATAGCTACTCTGCAATATTATAAAAAGAATGGCAGTGTCCATATTTTTTTGCTATGAGAAACCCAAACTATGTGTCGTATCAAAAAGTAAAACAGAAAATCAAAATGGCACTATGTAACAAAAATTCTGCGAGTCTCATTAAATTTCATTCAGCGGTATAAGAGGAGTTGCGGATAAGAGAAAGGTACCCCAGACGGATGGATATCCCGATCACTGTATCCCTCCCATCTTTTCGTATTTCAATAGTGGTCACTAACTATGTTTACTATTGAAATGCACTCTCAACTACTATTGATATAATTATTTCAATAGTGGTCGTATTTCAAGTGGTTACTAACTACATGTATGTTTACTATTGAAATGCACTCTCAACCACTATTGATAATGATATATAATTATTTCAATAGTGGTCGTATTTCAGTAGTGGTTATTAACTATGTTTACTATTGAAATGCACTCTCAACCACTATTGATATAATTATTTCAATAGTGGTCGTATTTCAATAGTGGTTACTAACTATGTTTACTATTGAAATGCACTCTCAACCACTATTGATATAATCATTTCAATAGTGGTCGTATTTCAATAGTGGTTATTAACTATGTTTGCTATTGAAATGCACTCTTAACTACTATTGATATAATTATTTCAATAGTGGTCGTATTTCAATAGTGGTTACTAACTATGTTTACTATTGAAATGCACTCTCAACCACTATTGATATAATTATTTCAATAGTGGTCGTTATTAGTGGTTGCAACATGGGGGTATAGTAAACCAATGCACCATTGCTCGTGTTTATCACATCAAAACTTAAATAAGTTTAGATATTAAATCGGAGAATTTTTAAAATATCTTTTTTCGAACCCCTGAATGAAAATGAAAATTAAAGCGATTCTTTTCATATGTATTATGACATTTTTTATATAGTTTTTTTTTTTTTTTTTTTTTTTTTTGGTTTTGGCAAATGGTTTTTAAACTTTATGTACGAGAAGAAAAATTACATGTACACAAAATGAGTTAATATTGTTTGTCGAAAAGTATGTTCAAAACAATATATCAAGGTTTAAGCAATCAACATATTTTCATTTTTTTTTATCCAAAATATAACAATGTAACGAAATATACATAAAGACAATTATGTTAGAACCAATTAAAAGAAGGATATGGGAGATCGAGAATATACATGTACGGCAGTTATTGTTGATCAGATTTAAATAACTTCAAACAGTCTCCTTTAAAAAAGGTGAATTTGTTGAGAGAACATCCGCCTATTGCAGAATGTCAACATAACAGACGACTCTACTATCTGTGTAACAAGCTGAACAAGTATGGTTTATAACGACTCGGCAGAATGTCCTTTATTTCCAGAAAACCCAGGATACTGCGTAAGAATAAGATCAATATTTCTCGGGATATTAAATGAACTTCCTTTTTTTAAAAAAATTAATTTATCACTTGTAAACTTTCCGTTTTAACACATGCATGGAAGTCTTTTGAGACTTTTAAGACATGTTTTAATTTATTTTCCGTCGTTTGATTAGTAATTTAGTGGTGATAACTAAATTTCAACAAGAGTCTCTTGAAATTAACTTCATGATTTTAGATTCTAAATTATTAGAATTTTGTTAAACGGAATTGCGTATACATTTTTCATGCTTTATAAACATGATGTAAACACGGAACTATTTAAAATCAATTGATTTATTTGCATACATGTAGTCTTTGATGTAAAACCCCATAAGAAAGTTATAGGGGTTTTTTTTTTAATTTTTCTAGCTCGGTGGTTTTCGTAAATTTCCTCGTCTTATTTTCAATATTAATAATTATTTTTGGATTCATTTAAACAGATTGGAACTACCATCGCTAAGTTTTTTTTTTTAATTTACGCATTCAAAAAACTTTTTTAACAGGGATGAAACGGTGAATATTAATATTCAAAGAACGTAAATTCAGGTCAAAGGGACAAGTATATGCAATTACCTATGCTGAAATGAATTAAATAAATAAATTAAATAAATACATGTAATAATAATAGGAACGAAGAAAGTGTTGGGAAACTTTTATAACATACAAAAAATAAAGAAATAAACACATAGCACCCTTTCAGTCCAAAATTTCTAATATCATAAAGAAAAGAGAAAAAAAAGTTCTAGTAATATCTATAAATTATCATTATTTAGTAATTGCTTAACCCAAACTGTTCTGTGTAATTTTTTAGGCATTGATTTTATTTATTCAATATAGAATTAGACTAAGCAATATGCACAGTCTGTAATGCACATTCTGAATCAGTTCACCTATTAATTGCTAATGCAGACAGGATAATGTGATTGTCTGAAACAATGCAAGTCTAAGCACATCTTTTGGCAAAAGTATGATTAATGTAATTAAGAAAATGTTCCAGATACTATGAAATTTCACAGTGATACTTCCATTCATACTTCAACTCGCCATATTCCAATACACTACAGAAATAAAAGTCTGATGCATCTGTTTCATATAAATTTGGATTTTTTACTAGAGAAAAATACCTTAATGATATCTTAACAGCAAAATTTTATGATAAACCTGATTACTTTAACTTTTCTATTCTCATCTTCCCTTAAAAATGTTTCAGTATACCGTTATCACTTGCATATGGGGTTTATGCCTCCTAGTTGATTCGATACATACACATGAGCATGCTCAAGGAATAAACAATTTACAAAACGAGACAAGCTTTTGAAACACAAGTTGATTTGAAACAAGGATATCAATAGTCTTGTTCAAAATCAGCAGCTCGCAGGTTTGTGTGGGCGATGCAATGACTTTGTTAGCAAATACAATATATCACTGAAAGAAATACCTAGTTGATTTAACTAGTGTGCCTAGTAAAGCGTTCGACGTGATTAGTAATCACTCTGTTTACTAGCTAAGATAGTGAAAAGTGGAGTAGTGGTCGTAAAGATACTTAAATACCTAGTGAAAGTTACTTATAAGTTCTTAGATTTACTAATGTTATCTAGTAAATCTATCCAATACCTAGTAAAACTACTTTTAAGGTAGTGATTGTATGGACAGTAAATTTACTAGTCTTCCCAGTGACTTTCACTAGTTATTTTTTTTTTTACAGTGATATCTATTATTAAGTCGAAAGCAAACTGACGTTTTTCATACAAATTGTTAGCCATCATTTCTATGGACTCTCTGTTTGCCCGTTAATAACAAAGAATTTAACACACAGCAAGTTTGACCGTTTGACATGGAATACTTACTTCTCCATGGCACCCGGCCCCACCCCTGATGATATAAGAGGTCTGCTTTCGATTTTTTATTGTTTCAGTAGACCTTTGAGCTGGACAGTTGTTTTTTTTATCTCCATATTTTATTCAAAAGAGCATAACTTTAAACAATTACCAGTCTTTGAAGGGTCTAGGAAAGAAGTACTGTATAGGCCTATAGGAAAATGAAAGATTTATAAATGAAAAATTGAAGCAACTCAATGAGGCAATAAAAAAGTATTAATAATGTACATATATGAACAAATTAAAAAATAGAATTTGAAGTGTTTTCATCTCGTAGAAGTACACTAGTTAGCAATACTAAGTAGCTGAAGCTGTACACTTATATAATTTGGTTTTGGATATTTAAAAGATTTTGATTTTAAAGATTAGGATTCCATAACACATTTAGCAAATGTAAATTATCAATTTGTTTAGTTAATATACTGTATAGGGGGAAAATAACTCGCGGTGTTAATATTCGCTATATTCACGGTGTTAATAAATCCGTGAATTCAAGAAACAGTGAATAAATGTTCAATAATCTCAATGTTTTATTTGGAAATTTGAGAATAGACTACGATATGTTGATACATTCTTATCAATAAAAATGCTGATGCCTAAATTTAGTTGTTTTTTTCAGTTCTTATAGTTGGTTAGTATACACTGGACTAAGGTTTAATGCATGATACAGTTGTGTTAACATAAACAAAATTATTCATTTTAATTTTATTTTGTTTTTTTTTTTTTAAATAGGATGTTATAATTCATGTGAGGCGGGCCATTGCTTCACTGTCGTTGATAGGAAGGTGAGAAATTATTTTCTTCTTCCAGGTAAAAAATAACTATTTTTTAAAATGAAAAATATAATCTTTGATTCAAAGCTTCGCATATTGATAATTTCTAAAACATGAAAAAACTAAATAATCAAAATGAAATTGTATTTTATTTCAAATTAACGGGAAAATGTTCCTTTGCTTCTGAGTCTATTTTGTCTGTATTTTCTTTTTAGTTTATTCGTGATAGTTGTGATATGGCTCTTCAAAAAGCATGCTGTATTTTCACAGGTTCATTGACATTTCATTTTTATCTACATTTAAATTAGAATTAAAATAATTTTGAATTATCACCAAATCATATTTTTTAAAAAATTGATTACAGTTTACATGTAAGTTTTTTTTTACAGTATGTAACAAGTGATATGCTATATGATGGCTGTTTTTTTTTTAATTTAAATTGTTTTATTCCTTACCAATGATTATATGCATTCTTCACATTGTTTTGTAGAGACTAATCCTGTATTTAAGCATAGCTGCTTTCTTTTACAGTACAGCTTATTTAATGGTGAGTAATATACATGTATGTATATTTTTTTTTAACGTGAAGTAAGCAATATCTCATCCACGTATTTAGAATATAAAAGCTTCAAATTCATACTCAAAGCCTTTAGTTACAGGATTCAACAATGGATTGCCCACAGACATATAATAGGCATACCGATATCTTTTTTTAATAGGGAGACATACGCCCTGATGGACCCATGTGTGACTTTCAAGCTTGGTATTTAAGTTACTTTGGTATGTCCAATTTAAGAGATGTCATATAAGAAGGCATTTTTTTGTATTTTATATTCAGATATATGACAAACACGAAATTTAATACTACAAGCATAGGAATTATTCATAAGTGTTTGGAAAAAGCATGTTTCATATGTGTTACTAAAGAAAAAACCAAATTAAATTTTACTACTCATAGATGACTTTTAGATTGTTGGTCATATATCAAATCTTTCAGATGTCTTTCAATCAATTATTTTTAGTCTGGTCTGCCTTGATCTGGGTGTGTATAATCACATTTAATTTGTACATGAACGTGGTAAAAAACAGAAGTATAGAGAAGTTCGAAATGTGAGTATTACACGTTAGCTAGGTTTTGTAATTCAACGCTTTGTCCTTCATCACGAATAATTAAATAATCAATGATATTTGGGATCCTTTCTACAGCTAGTATGACTTGATTTAATATTGTCTTTTAGACTCTTCCATATCCTAGGTTGGGTTTTCTCTGCCATCATGTCTTTCCTACCATTAGCTGGGAATCGTTATGGCCCAGCTGGGGCTTGGTGGTATGTATGCGTCGAAGTGCTTTTTCTTTGTACCAACGAAAATCTTTCATCAATACTAGTATGCATGTGAAAATTTAACCCCTTGTTACGGTTCCTAAGCGGCTTCACGTTGGCGACCCTTCTGCTCAAAATGACCGCCCTTCCGTTTTCGAACATAATGGCCTGAATTCTTTCCAACTTGACGGTTTTTCCGTTTCCAGCTATTCCGTTTCCTTTCCACTTTTTCCTTTCACTGTAAATCACTTTTTATTCGCGAGAACTTTATTTTCGCTTAATTACGCGATACAGGATGCCCGCAAAATTTCATTCTCGCGTAAAATAGAATTCCTTAAGATTATATAGAGCAATGACCACAATTCGTGAAAATTTTGTCTCGCTAATAAATAGTCAATTACTATCTCGCGAACATAAGGTGCCGCGAAAATTAAGTGATCTACAGTATACGAACAGTTTTTATACTTCAATAAAAAAAAATTACCAGGACTTTAACACTGCTGTCCAATGGTAGACGTGTTTACTGCTTACTTCTGAAAAGAATAGAGTGGGTGCCACTTACGACCCTTTCAACGGCACTAATGAAGTAGACCTTTTAGGAAATATTTAGGAGGTACCCTCTCTTCTTTCCATAAAAAAATAGTTAAACAATTTGCCCTCGAGGTGCAGAAGTTGTGACGAATGTTGATGATTTCTTTGTTTAAAAGTATATGATAAGGAAAGAAAAAATGTGTGGGAATGATACAACGAGAGCTTCAGGATCCCCCATCTTGGGCGGTAGGGCGGCCTTTTTTAGTCGGAAACGGATGGGCGACCATCTTGAGTACTAGGGTCCTCTTCTTAACGGAAGGTATACCATCTTTGTAAAAACTGAACTTGCACAGAGTATTGAAATATTTTGCTTGGATATGATGATTTTTTAAAAACATGATCCTATTTCTTAGATGTTGTTTATTGTCATTTAAACGTTTCACAGGTGTGTTAGTGCATTGATTCTAAGGATGCTCTATTAGTAATGTCAAAAAATTAATTAAAAACTTCTATACTTATACCATTAGGTTTAATGCAATATCAATTCATTTATACCCTGTTATACCATTTATATCTCATAACAAACGCCGATCTTTTGTTTATTTATTTGATGTTGTTGCTGTTACAGCTGGATTGTGAATGATCTTGGCTGGAGATTTGGAGTGTGAGTACATTTAAATTATCTTCTGTTCTTTGTTAACTGGAATTCGAAATATGGTTCCATTGTAAATCTAATGCAGATTCTAATGAATACAAATATATGAACAGGGTATAAAACAAGGCACCAGAGGTGGGATTAGGTGTCCATTACGAGTAAGCCTACCCAATCGCACAATTACACCCGCTATGGGCCCTTTACATTGACCAGTTAGACAGAGTAATTCACAATCATACTGAGTATAAAATTATCAGCTTTAAAGATCCATCACTTTTAAAAGTAAAAATACTACCAAATGATAGTTTACATTTGCCAAAAAGATCATTTAACGAAAAATATAATTTACTAAATACTGTACGTTTGACTTTATATGAGGTTTTTAAAAAATCAGCTGTAGCCTATCTCGTTTCAAAAATTAATCGTTGTCAGATCATGCTCCTAATTTTCGAATAAGTTTGGAGATAAAATCACCAAATGCATGTGACTGTTTAATTTTGTAAAACACCCAAAATGGAAACAGATATGGCAGACATTGTTAGTGCCTCTATTTCGAGCTAAATGGTATATGTCGAGTCGAGATATAAATGGAAGGAACTATAATTAGTCGACATATGAATGGGATTGATTTATAAACGTATATATCTGAATGTTAACGTCCCTCTCCAGAATATTTCACTGATATGGAGACGTCAAAAATTACCATTTTAATTCGGTGAAGGGCTGCAAAAAAATTTAGGCCTATGCTCGGCAAAATGGGGCCTTTGACAATGACACGTCAAAAACGTGCCACACCTGCTGTGGCACGGGGCCTCGGTTTATACGGTCTCATCCGAAGGACCGCTCCATTTAGTCGCCTTCTTCGACAAGCAAGGGGGTACTGAGGACCTATTCTAACCCGGATCCCCACGGGACACATACGAATGGGGTGACTGATGTTAATTTATAAACGTCGTCGATATATCTGAATGTTGAGTTGAAGGCCTGGCCCCAAGTGCTTCTTTCTTACCACTGGAATTCATAAAATGTTGGAAGACCTGCTCTCGAAAAATTAGAAAATGCAAAGAATAATCTAAACAAATGTAGAATTTATTAAAATACAACCCAGTGTGTAAGGATTGTTTATTTTATTACAGTTGGTATGGACCATTATTCATAGCCATTACGGTTTTGGTTGTGACATATGTTTACATCATTGTCACTCTGTTCAGGAGGGTAAGTAATAAGTCACAATATACCGGTACTGGAATCTGAAGAAAAAAAAACAACAACTGAATAAACAGTAATTCTTTTCATTTTTCAGATTCATATACTGAGTATTCAAATAAAATCAGAGGAATTTTTAATAATTATGATTGTTTTATGTAGTTGTCCACTTGGAAAGGTACATATGACCCAGAAAAAGAAAGACAAACAGCCATGCTTAAAGATGACATCAAATATCTGAGGGCTTACCCATTTGTTTATTTGGCTGTCTCCGTATTTTCTCTAATAGACAGGTTTGTTTGAATTGTTCTTAGTATTTCGATATCGGGATTCTTTAAAGCAGTAGGACAATGTGATCTCATTTTTCCTAAAACAATTTTCAAATCTGCGTAAACATTTTCTGTACATGTCAATTCTTTTTTTTTACCCTGCTAGTACATTTGACTTATTATAGAATACAGAATGCTGCTTCACCAGGTGAGCCTGTTTTTGCTCTTGTCATATTGGCCGCACTCACAGCTCCCTTGCATGGTAACCACCATACTTTTGAAAGTGAAGCATATTTCTTATCTATCTTTACTATTATTCATTAATTTAAAAAATATAGAATGGAATATGGAGATAATGAACAGCTCGGTGTTCATTTGAACAAAATATTTCGGAAGCAGAGTAAACGCGGATCTCTAAAAACACCAGAAACGGGATCAGGTGCCAGGTGGAGGAGTTAGCATCTCTGTTGACCGGTTGCATCCACCATGTTCTTGTTATAATCGAGAAAAACGGGGAATAAATCCGTCGACAATTTATGGCCTAACAATAGTACGAAAATATCCATTAGTATTTGACTTAATGATTGATTGTATTTGCCGACAAGGTCACTGTATCTGCATATAACTTGTCGCCTCACCATGAATTAAAATGAGAGAAAGATTCAGATACTCGATGGCATTAGTTGCAATCGTTGGCAAGCACTGAATGACAAGAATTTCTGTACAGTTTTTGTTTAAGAAGAAAAGAGAGGGAAGTGCAAAGTTTTGAGTAAAAATTTGTTTAGTGTATCATTTTAAAGGAGGGCACGCCTTTATGCTTGCATGAAGTGCACAGCTTTGAAATATTATGTCATTAAACCTGCGGAGAGTCTAAAATTATGTTGTATGTTTTTACAATATTAAAAACCTCATCATTTTTTCTTAATTTGTGATGCCTTAAATCCAGTAAAAAATTGGATTTGTTTCAAGCTACATTGTTATATTTATGTCATGACAAAATTAATGTCAAACACATGAGATGTATCTAGTATCTGACATTCATTTTCAATTACATTACTTATTTCTTGCAAGATATACATGTTTAATTGGTTTAAAGGTGCGATGAATGCCATAGTTTTTGGAATGGATAGAGAAACATTAAGGAGGCTCACCCCTACACAGATCAAGGTAAAGTTCAAAATTATGAAACCTTCGGCTAAATATTTATTTAGAGCTCTTATAATCCATTCTCTGCTGCTAAAACAAAGTGTACGACGAGTTTTTCCTGTTCCTTTGACTGATCTTTGGAAAAGAGTTCTGAGTTAAAAATAAATTTAACATTCTTTTGGGTATATTTTTGACGTTTACAAAAACACTTCTCTGTTGCAACCATAACCAACTTACATAAATTAAACATATTATGTATTTAACGATTATTTTTATATGAAAATATAATGATATAACGAACAAATATTGCTCTGAGAATGAAATATATGAAGATAACGAAAGTTATTCAAGCTCAAAAGGCCATGAAACGATATAAATCAAGAGCAGAGCAAACATGGACCTGTAATACATCAGAGGTAGGATCAGGTGCCATGGAGGAGTGGGTATCCCCAATCGACCAGTCACACCTGTCGTGAAAAAATCCGTCTGTGGATAATTCAGTCTGTAAACAATGGCCTAACAATAAGTATGAAAACGTCACAGTCAGTATTTGACTTAATGATAGCTTGTATTTGCTGACAAGGTCATTTTATCGACCATAGAACTTACGAAAGACATGACTTTAAAAGAGACTGCTGGTATTCTTGTTTCATCGAATTGATTGTCAATAACTTACATCGTTTTAGAAATTGTTCATATGTAGATCATGTTCTTGCGTATCGAATCAACTGAGAGATAAAAACCCCAATTGTAAGTGATGAAGGTACTAGTATATTGTTGCTTAAAGTCATTGCGTTTTTCATGAAGCATTATTGTTATATAACCATGAACTTCTTTTTCCAATTAAATATCCAAATATGAAACAGATGTGTCAGACTCTGTAGAATCTCTTATTTCATGCTCACTGGGATATATCGTGTCAAGTTGTCGACATAAGAATGGAAATAATCATTGTTAATTTATAATACGTCGTCGATATATCGGAATGTCGAGTTCAAGGCCTCAGCAAGTTTTTTTTTTCTTCTTTTCTTTTAATAATTTCTTACCATTGTAGATGGCTTTTATGGCAAGAATAACCAAAAAAGCTGAAGTACATGAGCTGAGCTCAATAACCAGTATATCTGCGGGGGAAATAAGACATGTGTGATAAAGATTATATTCCCTGAAGGTTGGTTGTATGTACTAGCTGGAAGGGAAAAACAAGGATATTTGTTTGAGAATGTTGAGTTTATGTAAAGTGCTTCTAGAAGTGTTAATATTATTTATGGTACTTTTTAAGAAAACGAAGTCTAACATGCTCAGTAAACGTATAGGAATTATAGTGTACAAATATTTGATTCATTGAAATTGACATATCTATTTGTTTTCTTTGTGATAACTCTTTGAAAGTTAGTTGAGTTGATTTCTTGATAATTCATCTGGAATGTACATTTTTCCAAGCGAAAGGTCAGGTGCTAGGCAGGAGGCCTAATACGCACGTAGATCTTGTGCGTCTGTCTGTGTCTGACGTCAGTGGGAGGGGACTATTGAAATTGACATGGGAGGCCTGTCTAGTTTGTTGGGTATGCAAGAGACAAGTTGAAAACCTGGAGTAATATATGCATACATGTGGGGGCCTCAACCATAATGCAAATAAATCCACGTTTCCAGCTATTGTTTATGTCATTCATACCCTACAGATTAGACAGTAATTCCTTAAATAATCAGTATATACATGTATTAGGTATCTTTGCATTTTTGGGGGGCACTAAGTGTACAGAATTTGATATTTGTGTGGACTTTTTGTCAACATCCTGCCTCGCTTTTGAATTCTTTAATACGCAGCACATACTCTTCTTTATAAAGTAAATAGGAGACATTCACTTATGAAGATGAAAGATTATGTAGAGTTTGTAAAGCTCATTATAATAACATGTTGCCAATGAATTTCACTTTATACTTGAATGTACTGCATTGTCAAACATTAGGAAAAAGTATATGAATGAATACTTCTTTACCAGACCAAATGTACTAAAATTTTCTCACCTGATGACAAAACAAAATGCTAAGACATTGAAAAACTCTGTATGCTTATATTAAAAATATATGATTTAGTCTGTCCTCCATGATTTTTTTCCCTCATTTATTCCATTATTCCATGTATTATATCTGTTTTAAAGTGTTTTTCTTTTTCCTTTTTTTCTTTCACATTTTTTGATTATGTATTTAATATATTTGTACCTCTGACCTGAATTTATATGCTGTAATTATCTTTCATTGTCCTCATGTATCATATATTTCAAATGGTTTTGAGTGAATAAATGAACTTGAACTTGTATTCCATTTTATTTGAAATTGTTAACTACAGTGTAATTGTTTTAGAAAATAAACTTTATAAATCATAGCAAACAGTTTAGTATATACGACTACGCTTAAAAATTGCTTTCAGTTACATTTCTAGAATTATTAATATTTTAATATTCATTCATGTGTCATATATGTAGTTGCTTGAACAAAAGCATGTTGCAAGCTGTAAAACCCAGAATTTATTTCAAAACTGTTTTTATTTTATTTTATAAGAATTGTTTTGAGCTAATATATTGTGTCAAAACACTGTTCTTACTCGTTAATTATCTATTTGGAGGATAATTAGTTCATATTTTAATATTTATTCCCAAACCTGTAATTATCTTATTTGTGTATATTTTACATGCTTGTTTTTCCATTAATTGGAGTCAAAGTAAAAATAATAATTGTTTTTTAATTTATCTTTTATTTATTCATTATTTATTTGGAAAATTCTATAGATATTTTTTCGATTTAGTTTAATTTTATATTTATGATGCTTTTATATATGATAATCTTTTTTCAACGAGTTATATAACGAATGACGCTGCATTATAATCTTCACTTAAAAAATCAACATATCTACGAGTAAGTGAATTCTGAATTGTACTACTTTTTAAAAGTAAAACTTATTCCAGTTATTTGTGGATCATGGGGATCTTAGGAATTTCACAAGGACCACGCATAGAAAAAATCTTATTTGTATCATGGAAAATTCCCATGCATGTTAGAAATACTTACTGCTAATAATTACACCAACTCTCAGTCGAGTAATGAACATGTAAATGTTCTCAATTGAAAAAACTGCTGTCTTGTGTAATGATGTTGAACTAAATAAAGTTTTTAATAAAATTGCCTTTTTCTCATCCTTTTTCTTAACTTTCAGACATGCATGGCAAAAAAAGCATAATTTCGATGAAAAGTTTTAACTTCTTCATTTTTAGAACAAAAGAAATGTTCTATTTATGGTAAATTTTCTCTTTCCTTCTTTCAACCGAGAGGCAGATTGACGAGTAAAAATGTAGAATATAATATTTAATTCTGCTGAAACCAAAGAAAAATCTGCTAATGACTAATAAAAGATACTATTTAAGGTGGAATATCCCTCTGATAAGGGAGATAACTCTTCTGATAAGAGAGATAACTTTCTTCAGATATTTTGTCATGAAATTCAGTGAATTGTCATGTCAGAGTTTACAAGTTTCATTCATGGGAACCATTATTATAGTCAACTCAATCAAACTTATTCTATGGTACAAATGTTGATTTATAGTTTCTATTGCTAGTATGTACATTCATGATTTATAATAATTTACTTAAAACATTTATACTCAGTTCCTTTAAACAGTGTAAATCTCTGTCTCTTAAAGTATAATTCTTTTAATTGTACAGAAATTTCAGATGCAGTGTTGTTTATAAACATTTAATTAATATTTTGTTTCATTAAAAAATATTTTCAAGGGCGATAATGGAAAGATAACTCTTGTTTATGGATGCGTGTTATTTTACATGCACAGAAAACAATTTGCAATTGTGATTTAAAAAGCAGAGCTTCAGTATGTTTTCTAATGGGAATTAGATAGGTATGAGAGTAAATATTATTTTTATATATACCTCATATTTCTAATTTAATTGTGAGATAAAAAATAATTAATCTTTCTATTTACCATATCATATTTTCTTCACATCATGATTTGACATATTATTCATTTCTGAAAAAGTAAGCAACGCTTCATACTTCAAACTATTTTCCATTTGAATTTAATGCTATAGTTGTTGTTGAAAATCAATGTCTGGATTAAAAAAAAAGTCGTGAAATTTGGAGCAGAGGGATATTGCTCCTTAATGAAGTGTATAGCTTAGAACTTTAGTGTATAATATTGTTTCGTATCCGTTGTTTCTTTTTTCACCATTTGTATACTAAATTTTGATATCAAATAAGTCCTTGTGTCACCAAATTTACAAAAATATACAAGTATACTGATTAGTAAGCAAAGTCAAGAATATAGAATCACAGTTTAGGGATTCTCCGGTATATTCAATCCAGCAACTCAGCAAGACAAATACTTAAAAGAAAATAATCAAAATTCCAAGGAAAATCAAAACAGACATGGAATGATTTTATTTCTAATATTAATGATATTTTTGGAAGACCGTACTGTCAAATGTTGTCAAAGTACCGGAAACCACCACCATCCGGGACGGTGTATTTAAGGTCTAGTAATTTTTTCGGTATTTTTTCGTATCCAAAAAGAGACGTATCTATAAGCAGAGCATCTCTCAGTCTCTCCATTAACACGGGGCTAATTCTGCTGTACGCCTCCAACATGGCTTCCTCGCGGTTCTTCTTGCGAGATTTTTTATCCCCTGATTGCGCATGCGCTTTAAATAAAGCTTCCCTGAACTGTTCTGGGGTGACATTCACATCTCTGTCAACTGGGAATGGAAACTTGACATTCTTACTTAAAATTCCACGTATTTGAAGTTTTCTCCATGCTCGGTAGAGCCCTTTGGTAAATGTCATACAATTGAGTATGGAGCGTTTCATTGAATAAACATAATCCACTGTGTCTATAAGTGCATCGGTTTCAGTTTCATTTTGAAAATCGCTAAATTTAATCATGTCTTCTAAATCAAGTTTTTTCAAAATATGAAATGTATCTTCTTGGAATGTTTCAAGTTTTCCAATGTAGTCATAATCTATTTCACAAGGTCTGCAGTGCTCAAAACTTGGGACAAAATGTGCATCTCGGCGCTCATTAGAGTTCTGGGAGTAAATGAAATATTCCACAAACTCTGGAAATGTAACGTCATGTCCACATTCAAGACTTACATTAGAAGGATTTTCACGGAAATTTTTTACTATATGTTTTCCAATGAAATTCCAATATGCTGTGTTTGGGGAATAAATTTTATCCACGTACCCCGAGAGTAATCTTTCAAAAGGTTCTCTTACAAACATGAATTTTGTTGACATGCGCAGTAACTGATAAATTTTGTCAAACGGAAGTCGTTTGGCGGTGGAGAATCCCTCATAAGCTTGGATTCCTTTAATGCTAAATGGATTACTCACATTTCTCCAACCACTCAATATCTGAAAAATTCGCTTCCAAAATGTACACCCTATCTTTTCGATTGCACAATATACAATTTTATTTTTTCGATTAACGACTAGATGTTCCTTGACGGCTGCCTCTGAATTTTGAGCAACGTAATAATTTTTCAATCTTGAGCATTCTTCTCTTAAATGTTTGTTTCTCTCCTCAAATCTCCTCTGCACAGGGTCATTGAGCATCTGAAAGGAGAAAAATAGGAAATATGACAATATTTAATGGTCCTATTTCTTTAATAAGAACTAACGTCATAATTAAAGTCAGAACTTTTTCATTTGAAGTGAAAACCCACCCACAAATTATCCAAATATCAAGTTTTTATTTGTTTTTAGACAGAATCAGCCCTTAGTTAAAAAAAGTAGTAAAAATATAAAATGCCAAGATTTCACATTGGTAAAATCATGCAGGCAAATGAAAGTTGAGTTAGTCTTGTTTTGAGTGACTGAATCGGGTCGACAGATTTAGCCTTGACGAATGAGTGACACCGGTGATATAGTTGTCAATTATGTATGAACTAATTCCCCCGCACAAGATGATACCTGCTCCGAATTATCTCAGCTTCGAATTATCTGCCGTGGAAATTTTTCCCTGGTATTGGTACAATTCTCGTTAATGGGTTACAATGTATGTACATTTCTTAACTCAACAAAAAAATTAAAATTTCTAATAAATTTAATGCACTTGATAATTTTCACGAGGAAATATATAATTTTTTCTGTATTTGACACTTACAAAGATATGCCTGCTAAGTATTCTTTTCTCCTTTCCTCTCTCGTTGCCAGAGTCCACTGTCAGCTGACCTGAAATAAAAGAAATGGCAATAAAATATTTAATGATTTTTAATACCCCCGGTATTTTTTTTTAATTCTTGAATGAAGGATATGGAGATAACGAACAGTATTCAATATCAAAGTCCATAAAACAATACAAAATTGGAGCAGAGCAAACACGGACCTCCGAAACATCAGAGGTGGGATCAGGTGCCACGGAGGAGTGAGCATCCCCTGCTGACCGGTCACACCCGCCGTGTGCTCCTTGTTATGATCGGGAAATAACGGAAAAATCCGTCGTCAATTCAATCTATTAATAATGGACTAACAATAAGTATGAAAAACGTCAGTCAGCATTTGTCTCAATGATAAATTGTATTTGCTGACAAGGTCATTGTAGCGACCATAAAATGTACAAAATGATGACTTTAAACGAGACTGTTGATATTCTTGTTTCATCAACTTGCTTGTTAATAATTTACCTCGTTTTTGAAATTGTTCATACGTAGAGCATGCTCTTGCGTATCGAATCAGCTGAGATATCTAGACTCCGTATGCAGGTGATGAAGGTATATTGCTGCATAAGTAAGGGAAGTTGACGATAGAAAAGTTAAAGTCATCACGTTTATCATATAGCTTGGTTGTTAGATACCATTAACGTCTTTTTCAAGTAAAATATCCAAGTATGAAACAGATGTGTTAGACTCTGTGGTATCTTTTATCTCAAGCTCACCAGGATATATCGTATCGACGTGGGAATGGAATTGACCATTGTTAATTGACAATACGTCGTCGATATATCTAAATGTCGAGTTGAAGGCAACAGCAAGAGTAAGAAAAGATCATTTTACTATAGCTTGCAAATTCAATCATTTCTTTCAAAAGTTTGCCAAACATCTGTTCCTAGCTAAAAATCATTTTTCCAGCCTACTCTTTTTTGTATGTTTATCATAACTTCAAAGTATGAAGAAAAAATGAAGAAAAGTATATTTGTATATAAAAAGAAAAATCATGTTGTCTATCTCTCTCACTGTCTATCAAGCTGTTTCATTTCATTAATTATTTCTGGATGAATGAAACATCGCATCTTATTTATGATTTCCGCCTAATGTGACAGAGTACATAGGATACCATGTATGACTAGATCCTGCCTTCACCCATGGGCAATATTTCAAGTAAAGTTTCATATTTGATCCTTTACTTAAAACAAGACAACATCCTCTGTTTATCAAGCCAACAAAAATATACAACTTTTTTTTTCTTACAACGAGTTTAATGCTTTTTTGGTTGTTTCTTGTTTATCTCTCGAGTTAAAAGGTAATTTTCTTGTAAGCGGTTGACCGCAATCCTAGATATTGTATATACCAAGTGTGGAATTAATCGAACCATCAGAGAAAATGTAGGATTTGTGGTTCTTTTATGTCTTGTTAAGAAAGTGACAGCATGACTGGCTAAATTATCTGCAATATCTATTAAATGCATTTAAAAAAAATAATTAATTTACTCATACATTAAACAGTATTACAGTATAAATATACGCAGAAAATGTGTTTCCTAAAATCTTATAGTCAAATATACACGTATAAAAATGACCAAAAACCCGACAGTTTTAGAGAAAAAATGAGAGTGTTCGGGTGACACTCGACAGTTCATCGACCGTTGTCTTGCCCGATTTTGCCTTTTTTCGCTATTTAATGTGTCTGTCGGGCCAGTTTCTTCAATTACAGTAGTCACTGAATAGTCTGTAGACCATCCCTCGGTCCTCGGTGGGCAGTTTTTGAAATCTATCGTCGACTGGCGATATTTAGGGTTTTCCAGTGTTAAAAGGCGGTTTTAAGATTTTCGTCCGATAATAATTTCGGACGATCATGTCTTTTCTTCCATTTTTTAGGATACCAGAAAAGTTTGGTCGCCCGACCATGGGCTCAAATATGACTCAGGCAATCTATGCATTAATGCCATGACCTATTTACAAAAATAAAATTACAATTTATTAATATTCTTATAGGAATTTGTTACGATATTATGCGTTATAAATGGCGGTCAACTTTATGTTTGCCGACACTTGTTTCGGGACTTATTACATTCTTTTACGAGTTGTCCTATTAAATCATGATTGTATGCGTGAGTAAGGATAATGTTTCGATTTTTCTGACACAACCGAGGTCATTAACAAAGAACAAAGTGTTGTCACAAAAGTATTTACTTGTTTATACGGACAAATAAAACATTGCCGCTGGTCAGATGTAATGCTTTCAAGGTGGAAAAAAATGTGTAGTAATAAAGGAAATTATCTGGTATTCACCTGTGCAGAATATCTATATAGTACTTATTCTACATAGTACCTAAGTATCATACTAAAGCAATGATTATACGACCATGTGATAAAAAAATACGACTATGTTTTGAAATGAACAAAAACTGTTATATTTTGACCTATTCATCATTTTTTATCACTTTTTCCCACTTAGATAAAGGTAAAGTTTTTTAAGAAACACATTCTTTACACAATTTTTTCAGAGGTTGGATGAAGTTTGCAAAATCAGACAAAAAGATCGTCTCATTGAATTTTTGGTTTCCTGTTCAATATGCTAGCAAAGTTATTAATGTAGAGCATTTTCGTTATCTATATTTTTTTTAATTTTGTGATATGAAAATCAAATGCATTAGGCAAACAAGACTTGAATTCATGTTTAAAGCTAAGATGCTAGTTAAAGCATGTAAAAATACATCAATTTTACAATAAATAATTTTATCTGGAGTGAAGATTTTCGGGAACGCTTTTTGTGATTAATTACATCAATTCCAGTCAAATTATATACCGATCCATTCCAATTTAAAAGTGGAAATGAATATATTGATATTGCAAACTCTACATCATAATCTGTAAATGACAAATGATACATATTTTTCAAAAATCATACAAATCATGTTTCTAAAATAAAAAGTGAATGGGAAAACATTTCTTTAGGTTTTATTATTTTTTTCTTATGTTTAATTTGGTTTATGATATGAAACATTATGGTCATGTTTCACAATAATGTACATGTAAAAAGTGACGATGTATAGATTTATAAGGACGATTGTCATTTTCCTCTTAACTGAGTGTCAAGTTCAAAAAACAATATTATTTACTTCTTATCAAACAAACACAAGAAACTGACGTTACTGGTTTTTCTTTTAATAAAAAAAAAATTAAAAGAAAAATAAGTAACGTCGGGTGCCTTTGCAAACAAACTGTAAAACATTTTCATATGTACATGAATTTATTCTCAGAGACTAAATTAAGAACACTGCATTATTATTAAATGTACATATATTTTTTTCTAAATGTTTGTATTATTTTTGAGCTGTATGTAAATAGTATGTAAATAATTTGTATACAGTAAGGAGGTTGTCATATTTTTTATATATAATATTGATGGATAATATACTCGATTGTGAATCTTTCTTTTTCATTATAACCTTCTTTATTACCATGTACAAGTATTATTATTTAATATCTGTGCTTTGACCTATTATACAAAGACAGGGTGTACGTAGGCCTTGCCAATAATAATGATGGATAATTAATATACTCGATTGTGAATCTTTATTTTTTCATTTTTACCTTCTTGATTATCATGTACACTAGTGTACAAGTATTATTATTTGATATATGTGCCTTGAACTATTATACAAGGAGAGGGGGTACATAGGCCTTGTCTGTTGCCCAATCCATATAAGTATATATTAAATAAAGTATGTTTAAAGCATTTATAAGGACGATTGCAGAAAGAAAAATGGAAAATTTACAGCTTCTTAAAATTGCTCTACACATAAATTCTGTTACATGTATTTCTTTTTCAAAATTAGTACAAATTTTGAATAAGAAATATCAAAAGTTGTGTAAATAACAATATCTTAGAAACCTGATAATTGCATCATATACCGGTACGCAAAACAATGCAAACAGTTTATGTTTCCATTAACTTCAGTACGTAAGCAGTCTTATGTCAGACTGTCGAAATTATGATTAAAGTCATTTAATTAAAAAAATCTACTCATTAAATTTTTCGTTAACCACGGAGATTAAAAAAATAATAATGGATACTAATGCACTTCATTTGCAGCCAAGACACGAAAAGTTAATCTTTTATTCTCCTCCCTGATGTTGGGAAATGCCAGATGTTTTTGATGGAACATTATATCTGTCGAAATTGAAAAAATTATCATTGACTTCAAAACAAAATTAATTAATGCATTTGATATTAACTTCCATAAACACAGCCACAATTTGCACATAAGAAATGAACTGTTACATAATAAAGTCAAAAAACTTAAAATACAATTCAGCTCATGTAACGTGTCATTTTGCCAAAAATGTTGCAAATAAAATCCTTTCAAGTGTGGCAAATGCCTTAACAATTATCTTCACCTTGCATTCATATAAACAGGCAAAATATCATTTCCAAAGCGGTGCATACAGTATTTCTGCATTTCTCTTAAATCATTTTGATCCCTGTGTGCAGTACGTGAAGTTGACAGGCGTTTGTAATGGGAAATTATAAGTGTCTAATTTGAAAAATCCTTCTCTGAGCTATTACAATATTGAAATAATCTGTAAACGTTTTTTTTTAAAACAATAGCTTCCTTACATGTGGTTTTTAATTGAAATTTCAACGAAAACCAAAATCTGTTTACAATATGTACATTTCACCTTACCTTATCTTTCGATAAATTGATTTCTTTTGGTAGAAAAAAGAATATGGGCCACGTTTTACCGAATATTAACTTCTGATGATCTACTTCTTTTCATAGAACATATAACAAGTGTGCTATTAAAGTCAAAGACCTCAAGTAAATTCTCTTTTGCTAACGTTTGCAAAATCCTTACAAGTATGGCAAATGCCTGTATAACTACCTTTTAATCTCTGCACTCACATAGCGGATAAAATAACACTGAAATGGGGTAAATACACGTCAGTATCCTAGCATTTCTTTGAAAATATTTTGATCCGTTTATAAAGCACATGAAGGCAGATATTATATTTTGTTGTTTTGTCTTGATCAGTCAGTGTGAAGGGAACCGTCCATCATCAAAACAGAGCCGTCATAATTATATGTTTAACCAACGAATGAGACAACTATGAACAAAAATGTGTCAAACTACTTGTCTAGCCTAGATATTCTCTGCAAAAAAGAAAGATCAATGGGGAAAGGAATACAAATATTTAAAAAGTAATGCATGATTTCCAATTTTATTTGAAATGTAGCAGAAAAGCCTGAAAAATTATTGATGTATTGAATCAAAACAAACGAGCAATTTTCCCATGCAAAGATTTTACTTTTCTGCCAAGTCACGATCCATATACCATTTGAGTGGATTCAGTGGAAATCCTGGACCATTACTCGTTTGCAAATTTTAAAGTTTATATACCAATATATACCACATTATCAATTATGAAAACAGCATCTTTATATTTCACATCCATAACTATACATAAAAATTTGTATTTCAGAAATAGGTATGGCAAAACCTAATTGCATCACAAAATTATTTTTTTTCTCTATATTTCTTGATTAAAGTTACTTTATTTGGTGAAAAATAAAAGAAAAAGCGAATATTGGATACTCACCAACGATGACAAACAGAAATGGCACCACCGCCAGCACTAAAATCCCGTACAGGAATAGCCTTCTAGAGAGTCGCCTCTTAAGGTATATGATTTTCATGATTTTTCATTGAAAATCAACCATCATCAGAAAACATCCCTTTAAAAAAACTTAAAGTGGTGCAGGTAAAATTGACATCTCTTTCATTTCCGACTCGACGTCATTTTCATCCCGTTAAAACATTTTCCCGCGCCAATTGCGTCTTCTGCTGCTGTACCGTTTATATCTGTTTATCTCTTTTATAAAATCCTTAGAGCTCACTAAAGTAATGATTATGCCCAAATGGAAGCATGTTTCTGTTATGATAAAAACATACAGAAATAGGACCGTTGTCTTGTACCAGCGATGACATTTACATTGTCGACTGACCGGCGTTGATGGCTAACTTTTGACAGGAGTTCATTAGTCACCTTGCCTTGTCGAGATCAGAAGAAGGTGTGCACTTTCCAATTTGCTCTCGTTGCCCTCTAGGCGATCATTTCTAACTTGTAATTCTTATAACGCGTAATATGTCGTAAAGCAAATATTTCATCGCCTAACTTACTTAATATGCTTATAATTAAGTGTTGGGGTAATTGTTATATTTCGCGGACCACCAATGCTTTTGGTCTTTAGTTATTTACGTGTAGCATAGCACCACATTTTTCAAAATGCGTGAATCTTGTCATAAAATTGCAACTAAAGATGTTGAATATAATTTATAGCTTTAGGTATCAATTTTATATGTAATTTCTTGTTTCGTGCGTTAGAGGTTAAGACATGTTAACCCTGTATACTGGTATAAATATCAAATTTGTAAAAGATACAATAAATTAGTTTAATTTTTATGAATTTCTATAAACTTATGTTTGTGTATTTTATATTCATGTATAGGCCTAAATTTGCAGAACTGAATTGATTGGAAATTTTTATATTGGCATTTAAATTCGATCAAATGTATTGTTAGAAACAAAAGGAGAAATTAAAAAAAAGAAGAAATTTATGGTTTTAAAGCCTATTCTTCAGATATGACGTACACCTCTGACTTCTTTAAAAAAAAATTCAAAGACTAAGAAATAGCCTCTGACAAAATGATCTTGAAATGAAATTGTTTTCTTTTTTAAACTAACAGAGTCACAATGAATTTTAATTTGAAAAAGAAAACAGGGGCTAGTAGAAAAAAAAAGATATTGATGGATACAACAAGAGAAGCATGGTAAAAAGGCTTTCACTTCAAAAGCAGAGAAGACATCAATTCAAATAATTGAAAAAATTGAGATAACTCGTACATAATAAAAAAAATTAAGTTTTGGAAAATTCTTTCGATGGATTAAAACTTCGGAAAATATATCATCCAACAGATAAAATCATTCATAATACATGTAAGAAGAGTGAATATTAGAAAACTAGGCACAACCTTTCCGACTGGATGCGATGACCATTTAAATCATGTAGGAAATCTTTACAAATGTGATGAGACTTTTTGATAACTTAGTTATAGGCGTAATCATGGACATTGATCATACAACCTATCAAATATACGAGGGTCATTCAAAAAATACGTTGACAATGTTCCTCATCGTCATATAATTATTACAAGATTGTAGATCAACACATTTTCGTAAATAAAAACATTAACTAGTATTTTGTCAAAGTGTGACGTTACAATAGAACTCATGTTAGCAAATTTTTAAAGCAACATGTTTTGTTACCACGGAGCATGGTTAACTTACATTGTAGCGTCAAAAAACAACGTCGAGAAAGTTTCTCAGAATTACTCTCTTAATTTCATACAATAACAATTGTGCTAATAGCTTCAGATTGTCAATTTTTCAAATTCTTTACCGCTTAACTCTAAAAGTTTCGCAACAGTGAAGCGCACATCATGTTTAATGACGTTCTAACTCTTTTGACAAGCTCTTTAACTATAACCTGTTTCTTTGCAGACCATCTGTCGTCCGATTCAAACTCACTACCACTGAAAAACTGTATTTTTCATTATATACAAATACAAGACTTATTTTAATACATTTTCTGTTTAATACAGAATTTTTTAAGCTTGTTAAAGAAATTTCCCGAACGCAAAGCAAATTTTATTGCTACTCGCTGCTCCGTGACGTCCTCCAACGTCATAGTTTTTTGCCTTTTATGATAAAGTCCATATATGTTTAGAAACTGATATCTTTTAAACGGAAAAATACCGGTATATTACATTACCTGATAGCATTTTAAGTGATACAGCAAGACTTAAAATTCAAAAAATGTAAATTTTATCTCGATTCAACTCCATTTATTAGAGGTATTGCTATAGATACTATAAAGTGAAAATTAGTAAATCACTCATTTTTGACTTTGCTTCGTGAATCCATTTTTGCTGTTATAAATCTTTAATAATTTTTTTTTTATAAATATGAAGATCAATTCCATATTTTTTACTAAAATTATTCGAATTTGTTGTGAAAATATGTGTACCAAATTTGGATATAATATGACGTTTAATAAACAAAAGTTAAGACAATCTTTTTGAATGACCCTCGTACAATCAAAATGTCTCATTTGATTCACTTTTAGGTTACATAAATAAATAATTTTAATCTTCGTCACATCCGCATTAACTTTGAAAATTTTAATGGAAAATTTGAAGAAGCTTATTGAAGTTTATGCTTGGAATCGTCAACTGCAGAATACATATTTAGTGATTATTGATCTTTAAGCTACCATATGTGTCGGAGTAATTCTGATTCACCAAATATTTGCTATCAAAGTACTAGATTCTGTGAACATTAGTAAAACTCTTAATCATTAAAAAAGTTAAGTCTTACATTCATACATATTTCAAGTTGAATTCTGCTTCCTATATGCCCTACAAGTGTTCAAAACTGTTGCTTTCAAACTTTTTTTTAAAATTATTAACAAACTTTAAAGGGTCTAAGATATCAAAGATTTTTTTAAAATCTTACCGGAAAGTATTCTTGCTCTTCTTTTTTCAGCTTTAGTTCCGCTGGATACGTCATTATTGGGGAACTTTATGTTATTCAGAATAAAGACTTACAAAAGCAAAAAAAAAAAAAAAAAATCTTCAAAAGTACTAAATATAGAGAGTCTTGATATTTCAATTTGCGATGGAGCTTCATTTATATGCATAATGTCATTATAATAAATGGTTACTTACTTACTTTGATGAGTTCTGACGAAACCCACATCAGACGTTGGGCTGAATAAGAAAGAGAAGACCTGACCATTTTGTCAAATTGGATAAAGTGTTTTAATAATAAATGATCAATGTATTAAAAAAAGGCAATATGCAAAACATCTACTTTCCTTATTTATAATATATTAATATTCCATTTTCATATGCATACTTGTATGGCGCATGTGTATGGTCTAAGTGCCATCAATTTCTAAAAACGAGACAGACTAGGAACAAATAAGTTGAAATTCAAAAGCCTCTTTTTAAAGTCGGGCATTCAATGGTTGTTACGAGGCTTGATCCAAAAGTAATGTCACAGTGTCCATATCTATGGTGGCATATTTCTGCCCCTTGTGTGCAAATTATTTTTCTATCAAATATGTCGACATGCAAGATAGATATGTTGACATGCAAGATAGTTATGTCAACATGCAACATAAATATGTTGACATGCAAGAAAATTGCAATCAAATAAAAATTATAAAAAATCTTCAAAAATCTCAAATATCGCCCACATGTGACCTCCAACATGCTAGATGCTACTTGTTTATGTTAACATGCAGCTTATTTATGTTAACATACAAGATAAATATGTTGACATGCAACATATTTATGTCAACATGCAACTTGGTTAAGTTGGCATGCAACTTGGTTATGTTGACATGCGAGATAAATATGTTGACATGCAACTTATTTATGTCGACATGCAACTTATTTATGTCGACAAACTTATTTATGTTGACATGCAACTTAGTTATGTTGACATGCGAGGTAAATATTTTGACATCCAACTTATTTATGCTAACATGCAACTTATTTATGTTAACATGCAACATATTTATGTCGACATGCAACTTATTTAGGATGGCATGCTCTTTGTTTGAAAGAGGGTGCATTTTTAATCAAAATCTGTGTTGCAGTTTTCAGTGAATATGATCGATTTCTGATTTCATTTGGGATATATACTTTTTCAAATATGCTTGATTTTCAAAATAATAAGGTTTTGAATTAAATGATTAAATTTAAATGCAAAAGAAATTATGTGATACACAACTATGAACATTTGTGCAAGCGTGCAGATTCGTTACTACCCAAGACATGTGCAATGAGGCACAGTTCTGGGTTTTTTTTTTCTGTCGGTAAAATTGAAGTTGATTTTAATGATCGAAAATTTATTCAAGTAGATATTGCAGTTTAAATTATTTTCTATAATATGAGGTGGACAACAAAGTATAAATTGCTTTATCTTGTTCATAACCAAAAATAAATGGCTTTCGGTAAGGGGTAATGAGACTGAAATAAAAGTTTTATGCCAACTGGACAATTTCTAACCTATAGGTTAAGGTCAAAGCAAAATTCTCTGAAATGCTTTTCATCCTATTGTCCATTACTTGAGTTGGACCCTATGTGATGGTAGATATCTCAATGATTCATGAATTCAGTGAAGTTCTACATAAAACAGTTTAAGAATAAAAGGTATGAAGTGCAGTTCACTAATTTAATATTTTAAACAATAAAAATGGGAAAATAAAATGCGAGCAAAATCGTAACAATGTCCTTTTTAATGTCAAGTAGGTATGTTCTGAATGAGGGAGAATAGATCTGGGGCATTTACAGGTGCATTACCTATGACAACTTCATTAAGGAGGCTGGGGGTCAACAAATTAACCATCAGATATAACTTATTTTTTTTAGATATGATATCTTTAGCTTTCAGCTATCATTTGGCAATCAAAAATTTCATACATTTTAGTTTTAAAATTTAATCATTTTTGTATGTTTTTATATTGAGCTCTTCTTCTAAAGGAGATCATTATAGTCTAAAAATGGCCACAACCACCCAGCCCTCTTAAAAAGGAACAATTCTTTTTTCCCATGAATTAAAAGTTTGACCTAGTTATCGAAGAAAAAACTGCTGACCAAATGTATTCTTTATTCAATAGGAAAATACGCTTTTGTACTCTTTCTTCAACAATCAACAGTACTCATAACAATTTTCTGAATTTATTATGATTTTTGACCTTGACGGTTAAAGCAGATTTTAAAAAAAACAATTACATATATTATGTACTATTTGTATATATACTTTACTAGTAATACTCATTTGCAATTAAAAATACTCAAAGCGTCGAAGACATACAATTTCTCATTCCTTTATCAAACAATATTCGGAACATAAAGAAAAATGTACCTCCTTAAAACAACAAAAGTCAAGTAAATGTATGTAGATACATGTAATTTATAAGCGATCTACATAGTCTGTTATTCGGAAAAAGAGTTCTGTTGCTTCTTCTACTG